ACGTCTGGACTGTCTGGGAACATGACTGATATGACCAGCATTTTCATGAGAGGCTCTTTCTGTTCTGTGACATGAATGACACAGAATTTTGAAAAGCTAGTACAATATTTTGCAGCTATCAACTTCTCAGCTTGAAATGATTGCTGTGTTTAATCATAGAAGCATTGAGTTGGAAGAGACCTCGTGGGTTAACCAGTCCAACCCACTGCTAAGAAGCGGGAAAATTGCACTTAAAGCATCCCCGGAAATTGTAGTCCAAAGAAGTAACTTTTCCAGGCTCTGGGATGATAAGGGTTATCTCTGCCATGCTGGAGGTCATGATCTAGTCTACAAATACGTTTCTGGTTCTGTGTAGGTAGAAGTGAAAGCAACCTTCAAAGAATGCACACCACAGTAAAACTTGATGGGCAAAGTGCATTGGTGTTTGTTTGTTTTTTTAGGATATGTACACTTTTGTTTTCATGTTCCAATGTTGATGAGAGTATGTTTATAATCCTTACAATAGTAGATCTACAGTGGTTGTAGTTGGCTCTGTAGAGGCCTTAGGCCAGTGGTTCTCAACCTGTGGATCCCCAGGTGGTTTGGCCTACAACTCCCAGAAATCCCAGCCAGTTTACCAGCTGTTAGGATTTCTGGGAGTTGAAGGCCAGAACATCTGGGGACCCACAGTTTGGGAACCACTTCCTTAGGGAGACTCAGTATTTCATTTTGAGACTGCAACTTTTCCTGTTCCTTGTCCTCTTTAAACACTAGTCCTTATGGGTCCTAGTCCTAGATCTTTTGCAGATCTTTTCTGCCCATGTTGTCTCCCCCTTTTAACAAGAGAGGGAATAGGCTTCAAAACCTCTTTGCCTTTCCCTATTGTACACATGTGCAAAGAAAACAAGACGTGGAAACCACAAGAGACTGTAGGAGCTGATTTCTTTGGGGACACATGATGCTAATAGGAAAGTGCAGATGTTGTTGCCTTTACACTCTAGTGGTTATGGAAATGTGGAAAACTGGGGGGAAGCAGTCAAGAACCGTGTTTTCCACCTGGTTTAACTGCTGACCCTTCAACCTAAATGGAGCCGCTGTCTGGCTGGTAATTGCCTGATGGATCTCTGAGGAATGCAGCAGGCACACTAGAAGCCAGGAGGCTTAAAGATTAGCTTTATGAGCAGCAGGATGCTAAGCTGGAAAATTCATATGAGAAACTTTTGCTTCTCCGTCTCCAGAGAAAGGGTTCAAAGGCAGCCACTTGATGGCTGTGTTTGGTAAATTTGGTTTTTTGGGCAAGAGCTCCCAGGATCCCTCTGTTGTTAGATGGTTCCCATTATGCAGTTCCTTTAGCGGGGTGGACAACGGCATTTAAGGGGTAATATCTCCAAAAGCCACTCTGGTGTGTTGGTGGCAAACTAGGGGAGATACCACTTCACTTCTTAATTCTTCATAGAACCAATTTCTTTGGCCCTTTTTAGATTTTGGTGGAGTGGGAATTGTCAGAAATATTAAAAATTAACTGGGTATTTTTTATTATAAAAGTTTGAGTCAAGCACTGAAAGAGTTAGTAGGCCGAAGCCTGATAGAGTCAGTGGGGAAAAGCTAGTGTCGTCCTGAGGAGTGTGAGGTAAACCTCTGTGTGAGAGAAGCCTTGTGTGAGAAAGTTCCTGTTTGAAGGCTGCTGCATGTAAAGCTACTATGTATTTGTTTATTTGTGTAATGGAAACCTAGTTCTTGTAAATAGTGTAGCTATATTACCGTATTTTACTACAAAGAAAAGCCTCCTAAGGAAGAGATACATTGTTCTGTATGTTTTTCTTCTTTTTATCACTTTGGGCTACTGGTTTTGGGTCATGCTGCTGCTACAGAGTTACTCTGCTGTACATTTATGAGGAGGGTTTTTTGTTTTATTGTGCGTTGAGCAATTTGGGACAAACACCCAATTCTGGAGGCAGAGGAGAAAATTTGGAAGTACCTGCAAGATCACCACAAAAAATAGGAGTGGGATCCACCTACAGACCATGGAATGGATTTTTTCTCGACTTCACATTAACTTTGCTCCAATTCATTCACCCGAGACAGTTGTCTTACTTCTAGTCACAGAAGGCATGCCTACATATATAAACTGGGGAAAACTAGACTTTATTTAATGTATTTTAAATCTTATCTGGAATTTTTCTCAGAGTGCTGGTAGATTTTTTAAAAAGCTGCAGCTGCTTTCAAGCTTATGATCTAAAAGCCTTAATGTAAAGGGAAAGGGGTATGGGTGGGAAGAGGAAGAAACAACTCAGGCACCGATTTTGACTGTAGGTTTTATAATGGGTAGCTGGGATGGAAACAATCTGAGATAGCCTGGTAGAATGAATGCCTCTGAGGACACTCGAGGGAGAGCCAAAGTCAGCCAGTCTCTCTCAGCAGGATAGATACATTAACCTTAGTCACCTTTTCTTCTGCTACTTCAGCCTGGTTGACCTTACGCAACACTTCTATTGTCAGATCAGTGGAAATGAAGTTGCCAAGTCAGGGGTGGAGAACCCTTTTGTTGTGAAGCACTGTTAACCCACACAAAGAATCAACCTCATTGTGATAAGGCCAGAGCTGAAAGTGTCTGAAATTAGTTGTATTTCAGGTTTGTATAGTGTGATCTTTGTCACCCTTTGTTTGAGTACTGCACCATCTGTCCCTCCCTGTCACATTAGGTGGAGGACTGCATATGGCAGTGGCCACACATTTCCAAACCTAAGTGAAGACCTCACAAAATGACCAGATGCTGTGCATTTGAGACACTGGCTTAATCAGTAGATTGCTTAAACCGTTTTTAGACCATACAGGTTCTATTAATTAATTAGCAGAGGGCTATTTTAACTGGTGGACAGTTTTTAATTACTAAGTCTGGATGTGGAGGATACGGAATTTGGAATTTTTTCTTTGGGATTGTATTTTTGAAAGGCAGATTCTGAAACAACACCAAGATTATGCTTGGGAACTTTGAAATCTTTGCTGCTCAAATAGGTGATTTCACTGTTTTCCACAAAAGACAATGTATGTCTTGAAATATTTATATATAAGCATTTTACACAGGCAGGGAATACCAAAACAGATACAATATATGAAACAAATATGTGAAAAATCACACAGGGGACATGAAAGCCAAATTAAAATGTCTTTCCTTGCTCCCTATAGTATTTTTCTTTACTTTCAATGTCTTTTTCCCCATTTTATGCAATCTTGCACCATCTGAGAAAATGTAAATGTAATAAGAAACGTGTAAGCCCCCCAAAAGTGGTTTTTATATAATAATTCAGTGGGCTGCTTGACAGAACAGCTGGGATATATACACATATAAGGTACTTCCTATCACTGGAGGAAACGACTGGTTCTTGAATCCTTGCAGCTGAATTGTTCCCTTTAAGGACTGTGTCCTTGTTTGTAGCTCCAATGTGGCCGGAAGGAGGCGGACTCTTTTCAAATTGGGAACAGTGAAGCATGGCTTCTTGACCCTGTGCCAGTACTGCTCATGACATTAGACAGATGCCAGCGCATCAAATGCATGGGGAATTTTGCTGGGTGGGTTTCAGATGTCATGGCTCAGTAATACATCAACACTTGTTTGAAGCGCAACCAACTTGTGGCACAGCGAATCTTGCAAGGTCCAGTTCCTTGGGGGGAAACTTGGAGTGAAAGCTGCCTGGAGGAAGTTTTCCTCATGGAGAACTAGCTGTTTAAATGCCACAGCGTTATCTTTTTCCCCATTGCTGATTCAAGCAGTGAAGCAAAGAATGCTACAATGTCTGTGCTTTTTTAGTTTTGAGTTTCCTTCTGTTTGCCATCATTACACTTCTAGGAGTCTCTTCAGTGTGTACAATTTAATGCAGGCATTTCCTTGTTGAATGCCCTTGACCTTGGGCATCTCTTTGTATCTTACTTTCTAGAAAACCCCAGAATTTAATCTGTATATGCTATATGGAGCACTTTCTTCCTAACATTGAAAACAGTTCATCAGTTCTGACCACCTTAATATCTTGGTTGAAATTAAAATCAATCATCCATTTTGGGACAAGCCTGGAATAAAACTTCAGCTATCCATTTTCAGTGTCATTACTCTAGAACTGTTTTATCATTGATACAGTTCAGAGGTTCCTGGCAGAGTAAGGAGTTATTATGTGTCACCCTCATGTCTTCAAGCAAACAGTGTATCAAGTAATCCAGGCCTGATGTTCCTAAACTTTTGGGGCGGAAGTCCCTCTTCAACAGGCAAGGCACACTACCTGCTGATAACAGGTTGCCTCTGCCCAGAGTAGAAGTGTCATGTAAAGTGAATTTGGAGGATGTGATTTTCCTCCTGACTCTTGAGAAGAAGGCAAGGGCTTTTCATGGAGTTGACAATAAATAACAACAGCATGTAAGTGCAAGAGTACCATCTTTTTCTCCTGCAAGTATGAACACTCTTTGGTGTGCATTATTTTTAGCAATATATCTTTAAAATTGAGTCTTTATCTCCCATATGAGCCTTTGCAATGTTATTTCTTTAGGGCAGATAAAATTGCCCTAAAAAATAACATTTTAAAATATGTTTCATGTTCAGATGCTTAGCTGAGATTTCCTCAGGAATTTGCTTGAAAATAGTAGTAAATAATCAACAATCATGCCAAGGAAGTTGAGAGATGAGGGAGGAGCCTAATCCCTGCTTGGTGAGGTCAAAAGATGATTACTGGGAATTTCTTAAATGTGATTGGCAGGTTGCCGTTAGCAATCCCTATACTGGCATGAAGTAAGGCACTCCATTACCTTGTTGGCCATCTGGAGAGTAAATGAGATCCTTAGTATCCAGAAGGCTTAAGCCTCAAATCAGAAAATAGTTTGGGTGCTGTCATGTATTTAGAATATATTGGATGGGCCACTTCTTTGCTCCTTGGGCATTTTCTGGTCTGGTCAGCTGAGTCCAGTAAAGTGTTGCAGGTACATCTGGAGGAATCAAGGTGCCGGTAACCTCACTCCCTGTTTGCTTTCTCTTGCAGGTTGTAGGATGCTGGCTCCAGGAAGACTAGGCCTGCCCACGTGACCTTTGCTACCATCATGCTGTGCCCATGGCGGGTGAAGCTGAAGATATTGCTTGCCTCAGTCACGCTGGTCTTCCTCATCTCATGGCTCTACCTCTTTATGGGTAAAAAGGGGGTTGGCGTTTGACCTTGTGGGCACCCGTGAGCAGTTCCCATGATTTACTACATTGGTTGAATTGTGATTAATATTGCGGATGGGAGCGCTCATGCAAAATCACCTGAAGGTTCAGTGTCATCCCCCCCCCCCCATTATCTTTTCTCAAATCCCTACAGAGCAGCATGCGGTGACTGTTCCTTTTCAGCTCATTTAATTCACTCATCTTTCCAGCTGTGAAGAAATTAAACATGCAATAACTTTTTAACTATGTGAGCTTATTTCCACAATTTAGGTCCTCAGAACAGCTTAACAATCAGACCATCTACTCCATAACAAGCCAACAAACTCCCTCATTGCACACTTCAGTACCTTCTGAGGGAGCTCTTCCTAAGACTACTTACTTTTCTGATTGGTTTCCTGATCAGAATTGTCAAAGACACAGTGGCAGTCCCTGCCATATAGAAGCTCTCTGTGCTATAATATAAGATAATCCCACAGTAGCAGATAGGCAAGAAAATTCCCTGGCTTCCAAATACTGACCTAAAAATCCAGTTGCCCAACTAAAATACACCCATTAAATAAAAGTGATCTATAGAAGAATGACTTGTTATTTAACAGCTGATTCAGTGGGTCTGTTCTAGTTGATAGTAACCATTGGACAATTATTTACGTTGATTTGCTACTCAATTACTACATAGTTTCTGGTGTGTGAGAATTGGCCATCTGCAGATACGTTGCCCAGGGAACACCCACTCACACTATCTTGCGGATTCGAAGCCCTGACCTACAGGTCAGCAGTTCAAGGGTTTAACCCATTGCACCACTGTGGCAATTTCTCAAGTTTCTCAAGTCACTTTGGACATGATTAAAAAAACTATATGGTAGCAAAGTTATGAATGGCAATGTCAGAGGCAAAGCTGTGCTCCCTGCTATTTTCACTTCTCTGTTCTCCTTGGCATATTCAGTTCTTATGTGTGTCAAGGCAGTGTTGAATAATTAATGACATAAAATATAAAATGCTGGATTTAGAGATTTATCCCGTCTGGCATTTTGTTCATAAATGAACAAGAAGATCCACAAGCAGGACACTGATGCAACCCTGCCATCTTGCTTGTGTTTTCCATCAACCAGTCTGCATAAAAATAATGCCTTTGATACCTGGGCTATATAAATTAAATAAATTCCTGATTATATACCAAAGTAATCTATACCCACAAATACAACAGTATGTATAAGTCAATCATCAATAAAAAGGTATGAAATATAAACTTATACTGGGTAAACAAGTACAAATTTACAAGTGCAATGTTAATGCTCCATACATCAGAATACGTAACAAACTAAACATAATGTTTAGCACTTGTAAATTTGTACTTGTTTACCCAAAATAAGTTTATATTTCATACCTGTTTATTGATTATTAACTTATACATTCTGTTGTATTTGTGGGTATAGATTAGATACCTGAGGTAACAGCTAGTGATCATCACATGCAACCACTGATTGTCTTATCCTCCATGTATGTGTCTAATCACTTTTTAAAAGCCATGAGCATCACTGCATTTTCTAGTAGGAAACTCCTTAATTTCCTTTGGAAAAAGTGCTTAACTTACTATTTGTTTTAAATTTCCCTTCATTCAGCTTCATTAGAAAAAAAATCTTATCTACCTTCTTCACCCTGTGCATAATTTCGTATTCCTTGATCATATATACTTCACTTGCCTTTTCCCTATAAGCTAACAAGCCCCAAATGTTGTAACCTTTCTTTGTAGAAAGCTTGGTCCAATCCCTTGATCATTTTGGTTGCCCCTTGTACACCTTTTCTGGCATTGTTGAGTATTCTGTTTCATATCTATCCTCTGGAGGAGCATCAAGCACTTTTGTTTTATAACGTTCAAGAAACTGTTCAACACAAAGGCCTTTGACTAAAGAAAAGGGTAATTGCCTAAAGAGAAAGATAATCATTAAAGCAATGAAATGGGAATACATTAATTGGAAAGCAGTGAAAAGGGTTGGGAGAAGTTTTTTTCTTTGAGGTGTTGAATTTTGCAACCTCTTTGTATAAGTATTGAACAAAAGTACAGTAAATATTTGTTTTTGGGTTTACCTACTTATTCTTTAAGCAAGAGACTCATTGATTATATTGCTTCAACCTCACCTTTCCCATGTTTATGTTTTGGTGATACTATCTATAGATGGATGTTCCCTTATGTTCCCTCCTTGCATTGGGGACCAGTCGAGTCGTTACTTTGACCGCGAGGCCTTGGTGTCCCAGGTGCGAAAAGTGGAAGAGGAAAACCAGCTTTTGAGGAGGCAGTTGAGTCACTCTCAGGCCAAGGATGAGGTGATGGCTGGGACTGACAGTAGCCAATGGGGGGCACAAATGGTAGAGGACCAGGATGGAAGAAACTACACAGGCTGTGCCAAGCAGAGGATGGTTCAAAAGTGTGAGGTAACAATGAACTCCAATTTATCCCCAGTGTACTGAACATTTTTGGGCAAATAATTGCGATGGGCAGGCATGTGTGTGTGTTGTAGGGTCAGCCCCCAAACCACCCAATTGCTAAAAACACTGGTCATGACTCAATCATCCATGCTGCTGTACCAGCTGAACATGCCTGATGTCTTCTGATTTCAGAAGCTAGGCAGGGTCAGGTATGATTAGTATATGTGTGGGAAGCCAACACAGATTATCAGGGTAGAGCAAGGAAAGACTGCTTTGGAAATCCTCTGCCAATCAGAAGTGACCATACTGGTCTTGATGGACCACTAATCTGACTGAATATTTAGACCATGGGTCCTCAAACAAAGGCCCGGGAGCCGGATACGGCCCCCAAGGTCATTTACCCGGCCCTTGCTCGAGGTCAATCTAAGTCTGAAATGACGTGAAAGCACACAACAATGACAACAATCCTATCTCATCAGCCAAAAGCAGGCCCACACTTCCCATTGAAAAACTAATAAGTTTATATTTTTAAAAACTGTTCTTCATTTTAATTATTGTATTGTTTTAAAGTGGTTTTTTTTCATGACAAATAAGATATGTTCAGTGTGCATAGGAATTCATTCATTTTTTTTTTCAAATTATAATCCGGCCCTCCAACAGGACTGTGACCTAGCCCCCTGTTTAAAAAGTTTGAGGACCCCTGATTTAGATAGTGGGTTTCTGTACTACTTTCTACTTTTAGCTATTGGGCATGTTGACTTGGCAACAGGAGATAGGAAAGTGTAATGGGATGTTCTGGTGCTCTTCCCTTCTCCAAGAAGATGTTTATATTCTCCCTGAGGTGAAGCAGGCTTTCCCCCTCAAATCATTCTCTTTCATATATTATTCTCTTTTTCTCATACACACACATACACACACACACACAAACATCATCATCATCATGGGTGATCATTCGTTACTGAATATGATTGTCTTCCAAGGGTAGAGACTTGGTGGTGGATTCATAAATGACTGCAAAGACCTATTTTGGATCTATATGGTGCTTCACAATGATGGCATAAGTTTCAAAGTGGAAGTTGGTTCCAATCAGGGTTGGCTTGATGCACCTTCGTCTTGACACGTTTTACACTTTTGCCCTCCATTTGTGCCTCTTCAAATTCCACAGCACTGTTGGTAACAGCTGGCCTCCAGTTAGACCACTCGAGGAACAGAGCGTCCCAGTTCTTGTTGTTCATATTACATTTTTACAAGTTAGATTTCAGCCCATCTTTAAATCTCTTTTGTTGTCCACCGACATTAAGTTTTCTGTTATTGAGTTGAGAATAAAGTAATTGCTTTGGGAGATGATTATTGGACATTTGGACAGCATAGCCAACCCAGCCAAGTTGATGGTGGGAAATCATAGTTTCAATGCTGGTGGTCTTTGTTTCGATACATATACACAGATACACAGAAAGAGAAAGAGAGAGTTCTATCTAGTTTGCTCTGGGGGAAAAGTAGTCTATTAACATATTATGAAACACTTTTGTGTTCCTGGTTTATACATGTCATTTCCTAATTGATTCTGTCATGAAATATGGGAAAAGTTTATTAAACTTTTTGCAGGACATCCTGCAATACATTTTGCTATAGTGTTTCAATGAATATCTCATTAAGTCTCAACCAATTCAAAATAGTTTGTGGCAGCCACAAAAATGAAATTTCTGGAATACAGCAATTACTTTCAAAGTAAGTACCACACAATTAAACAGGAATAACACATTCAAACCAGAAACAGATTTTTTTTTTCAAATTTTGTTACATAGTGTTATTTGTGAGGCAGATCCCAAAATTAGACATTGATAGGCCAGATGATTCTGCAGGTATAATGGTGACTTTGACTTGTAGGAGATGGAAAGATGAGGCATCCTCTTGCACTGATCTGTATTTGGCTTTTGTATTTCTGGACAGCTCCTCCATGTTGCCATTGTGTGCGCCGGGTACAACGCAAGTCGAGATGTAGTTACCCTCGTGAAATCCATCCTTTTCCATAGGTAACTTGAATCAGGGAAGGTGGTGATGGGTGGAGGATTTTTTTAAAAAAAAACATACGATGCAGTGTTGGGTTTGTCCAGGATTTGGAAACCTGGCAGGTTGAAATGTGGGTTCTAAGCTGCAGTTCTGAATGAAGGGGAGGAGCTATAGAACAGGAGATGAGATATCTCAATGGTTACTAGTCAAGATGGTTACATCCCCTCTGGTGTTGGAAGCAATATGCCCTTATGTACCAGTTGTTGGGGGAACACATGATGGAGGTTATAGTTACACTCATGTCCTGTTGATGGCCTTCCAATAGGGAATTGATTAGCCATTGTATTCTTACACAATGTCCAGTTAAAGGAAAATGTTTCAAAAGATACCAGCATCATCACGGGGAAGATAATGTGTATTGAAATACTTGTTGAATTTGTGTTATCAATTGTTTCATAAATGTTTCTTATCTTGACAGGAAGAACCCTCTCCATTTCCATCTCATCACAGATTCAGTGGCGCGACAGATCCTGCAAACCCTCTTCCAGTCATGGATGGTGCCTTCAGTTCATGTTAGCTTCTATGATGCTGATGACTTGAAGGCAAGAAAGCTGCATCCAAACTTGTATTTATTAGGGAAAACTACCTTAAATTATTAGCAGAGCATCCAAAAACAAACAGGATACTAAAAGTTGAGCATTCAGCTTATTAGGAAGCAGAGTGTGAAGTGCCACGTGATGTGGCTGTAATCAGAGTCCAATCTTTAAAAAATCACAAAAGGTTTATTTACAATAATAAGAAATAACTGCATTTCTTAATAATAAAGAACTGGGTCTCAGTTACTCTAACACCCATCTCTTCTAAGGTTTCAAGAGAGGGGAAAACTCAATCACTACATCTCTCCTGACACACAAGCAGAGAGAGATCTCAAAGCACACAGCACATACTCTCCATACTAAAGTGTAAGAAGGCAGAAGTCAGATTTAAAAAGTTTTCAGTAAAAAAGTATTCATTTCAAACAGCCAATCAGAATGAGAGTAGAAACAGAGAGGAGAGAAGAAATAGATTTCCCAACTGTCATACAGGGAAACCCTCAGACTATTCTAATGCTAACTAACTTCTCCTAATTGAGGTCTGCAGACTTGAGCAGTGTGGTGTTGAATTCCAACACTATTCATTATTTTTCTTCCGTCTTTTGAAATTCCCATTCCAGATTCTGTATTTCTGTGAAGTGAGCAGCTCTTTAGGAGAGGTCTAACATAGGAAATGCTGGTTTGGACATCAGAACAGAGCATGCAAAATTTGCTAGAAAAAGTAACATGCTACTTGGCTGTTGCTAATTTTTTTTCCTCATGCTATTAACATGGTATAATCAAAATGTTTATTTAAATAGTACTCTAAAATCACTAAAATCAGTACCCCCATAATATTTGTAATACAGGCAGTCCCCGAATTACAAACATCCGACTTACAAACAGCTCACAGTTACAAACGGGGGTGAGACAACTGGAAGTGAGAGAAATCTACTCCTAAGAAGGTAAATTCACTCCTGGAAGAGTTTTCTTGGGAAAATGGTGTCTTATCTGAAGCTTTCTCACCAATCCTTGTTCCCTTTAAAAATGTGCCTTTTCCGACTTGCAAACACTTTCAACTTAAGAACCAATCTACAGAACCTATCTTGTTTGTAACTTGGGGACTGCCTGTAAGATTACAGATATACCTCAGTTAACAAGTAGATGTGTTCCTGGGTTTCCTTTTGTAGCCAATGTTGCAAAATAACTCTTCCAGCAAAAATGGAGGACAAGAAAAACAGGCAGCTGGACTTTGTAAAAATGTATTATTATTATTATTATTATTATTATTATTATTATTATTATTATTTCTTATCTCTCCTTGTGTCTCGAGGCAGGTCACAGCACAGTCGAAACACACAAACATTGTAAAAATTCTATAAACACACATATTAAAATATAGTTCTATAAAAGATACATGTTAAAATGTATTTATATAAAATACATATTACATACACAGTACAGAGATTAAAACACAGGACTCAAGGACAAGAATATCATTATTAAAATGTGCTGGCAATGATCAGAATAGTGACACTTATTTCTTTCTGATCTTTCTGGCTTTTTGAGATTTCTATGTCTGCCTCAGAAAAGTAATTATTATCATGAAATTGCATCTGTATGCCAGCTACAGTAAATTGACTGGAGACTAGAACATTTTTTCCAACATGATATGTTGTTAAGATTGTTCTTCTCACCATTACTTGTTTTTTAAATAATGACTGCTAACATTATTATTGATTTTGTTATGTGATTTCAAGCCATTTCAAAATTAATGACAACCCTAAGGCCATGGGGCTAAATATGTGTGACTTGTCCAAGGCCATCTAATGGGTTGAATGGGTAATCAAACTCTGGTCTCCAAAGCCTTAGTCCAGTGTTCAAACAACTACACCATTGGCTGCTGTGTGTTTTCCGTGCTGTATGACCATGTTCCAGAAGCATTCTCTCCTGAGGTTTTGCTCACATCTATGGCAGGCATCCTCAGAGGTTGTGAGGTTTGTTAGAAACTAGGCAAGTGAGGTTTATGTATATGTGGAATGTCCAGAGTGGGAGAAAGTACTCTTGTCTCCCTGAGGCAAGTGTGAATGTTGCAGTTGGTGTCACATCCAATCATTTGGACTTACAGCCTGTTGCCCCCTGGGAATGATCCAACTGCTTATATCTGAATGTCTTCAGGTAGTATGGAGATATGCCTTATGACAAGACTCATCTACATGGCAACATCTAAGCATCTCCAGACCCCTCATGTGTGAGAAATGGCTCTAGATGTCATCAGGCACATATTGGCTGCTTCAATGGCACAATTTCCATTTTTAGCATGTTCTTTTTGTTTAAGCCATAACAACAGGTGGCCATTGTGGTCTTGCCCACAAAGTAGGCGCATTGGCTTGCTATTCTTCTAATCCTAAATTTCCCTCTCAATCTCTTGTTGCAGACAGACATTTCCTGGATCCCAAACAAGCACTACTCGGGAATATATGGGTTGATGAAGCTGACGCTCACCAAAGCTCTTCCCTCCAACCTTTCCAAGGTCATTGTCCTGGACACAGACATCACTTTTGCCACTGACATTGCTGAACTGTGGACTGTCTTTGGAAAGTTCTCAGGTACGTTCTAGGTATTCAGACCCTAGAAGGGATGCTCAACAGTCTTTTGGACTGGTGTTTTTAGTAAGTTCGTTGGCCATTGATCCTGTATTAAGTTCTTTTATTGTTTTGTATGGATTTCCCCCCTGATCTGGTCTTTTTAGTTAACTTCTTTGCTGATATATATACAATTAGGAAGCAGGTTTTCTCATGATCTTTCTCCATGAATCTGATGGTTTCTAGGACTCAAGATCATTGGGTTCCAGAGTGCTGTGTTGAGGATCTTTCTTGCCAATGAGCAAAGTCTACTCCCTGCTGCATTTAGTCTCATTCTGTGTTTCTCTTAATTCAGACAAACAGGTGATTGGGCTGGTGGAGAACCAAAGTGACTGGTACCTGGGAAACCTCTGGAAGAACCATAAACCATGGCCAGCATTGGGACGTGGCTTCAATACAGGTGTTATATTGCTTCAGAGCAACCATAAGTGCTTGTGCATGTAGGTGTGAGCACTTTAAGTTTGGATTAAGCAAGCCCCTGTTCCTACTGTGGTATTGGTTTTGCAAATGAAGAAATTCAATGTAATGAGGTAGGTGTTGGCTAGTCATTTCAGGCACATGAAAAATACAGAGAAAGACATAATCTGGAGAATATTATGAAGGCACATAGCCCTCTAAAATATCTGAAGGGCTGTAATTGGAAAAAGGGCAAACACTTTGTCGTTGTTGCTTCAGAGAACCCACCTGATATTTAACAGGTTCAAGTTCTGGTAAAGTAGATTTTTGTTGAATATTAAATGCTTTAATGCAGTGGTTCTTAACCTTTTTTTGACCAGGAACCACTTTGACCAGGGATCACTCTCCAACGTTAGTACCAAAAGGGTTACAAATCAGTTTTTGGTCAACTTTAGATTTGGCTTGGTTATTTGGATGCTGATTCAGAAAATTGCATTGGATAGACCACATCAGCTCTGGTTCCTGATACAGAACATGTGCCATCCAGTAGTCACCATCTGCTCACCCACATAATACCATATTTAATAATCTAGAGCTGGTATGGTAGTAGTAATCTTTCTTAGGTAGTCAGCTTCTCCCCTCCCAACATCCCCATTGCCTCGGCACTATAAGCGGGTTTCTCAAGACCAATCGCTCTTGATGCCACGGGGTTTTGAGTCAACAGTGTAATGGTGAGGCCACAGACCATATTTTCATTCTGGCAGACAACTGGTGGTCTGCGGACCACATATTGGAAGCCATTGCTTTAATGGTACAAAGAGTTTAAAATTTAGACTAATTGCCGAAACTGATGGTGAGCTTCTGAAGGTTTTCTGGGAGAGGATGGGAAGCCACCTACTAGAGGTTATCTACTTATGGGCTTCTTGCATTTAATGTAATGGACTACGTGGCCTACAGGTCACTTTTCAACTCTGATTGCTGGCTTGACACCATAAACTGCTTGCAATATTGTGCTAGCTTTAGAGCAGTTTCACTGTCATTGTTTCTCCCTACTCCACCAAGAATCATCAGAGTTGAGTTTAGTGAACTTACTGTATCTTTTCTGTTACAAATCCCTAGCCTCCCATCCAAGAACTAGTCTTCACAAGACATGCACATCTAAGGAGACAACGGTTGTCAGTGTCTTGAATGCAGACATACTATTCTTCAGCGTGAACTCCCTTGCTGTGCTATTGTGAAAGAAGAGATCTCCTGCTTGCCCATGCTTAGTGACTTAGAAAAGAGATTCTCTAAGCTCCTTCATGTGCATTGTAAATGCCACAATGTACTGGGATGGGCCAAATCCCCATCTCCTTATTTTGGGAGCACTTTTTAAATTTCTCTTTTTGCTGCCCATCTGCCTCTGACACTTGGTACTTCCAGTCCATTCCCCTGCTTGCCTGTGGCTGATAAGAGTTAACAACCACAATGCTTTGCTGAAATATATGGCTGAAATTATTGGTATGATTAAAGCTCAACTGGGTTGATGTGAGTTTTCCAGGCTGTATGGCCATGTTCCAGAAGTATTCTCTCCTGACGTTTCACCCACATCTGTGGAGCCCCTGGTGTCACAATGGATTAAACCCTTGTGCCAGCAGGACTGAAGACCGACAGGTCAGAGGTTCGAATCTGAGGAGAGTGCAGATGAGCTCACTCTGTCAGCTCCAGCTCCTCATGTGGGGACATGAGAGAAGCCTCCTACAAGGTCAAAACATCAGGGCATCCCCTGGGCAACTTCCTTTCAGATGGCCAATTATCTCACACCAGAAGCAACTTGCAGTTTCTCAAGTTGCTCCTGACAAGAAAAAAACCCCCACATCTATGGCAGACATCCTCAGAGGTTGTTAGGTTTGTTGGAAACAAGACAAGTGGGGTGGAGTGTCCAGAGTTGGAGAAAGAGCTCTTTGTCCATTGGAGGCAAGTGTGAATGTTGCAATTAGCCACCGTGATGAGCATTGAATAGCCTTGCAAGTTCAAGGCTTGCCTGCTTCCTGCCTGGGAAAATCGTTTGTTGGGAGGTTATTAGCTGGCCCTGATTGTTCTTTTCTGAAATTGCCCTGTTTTTTAGTGTTGTTCTTTATTTTATGTCCTGATTTTAGAGGGTTTTTTTAATCCTGGCCAGCAGTTTTTGTTCATTTTCAAGCTCAACAGTTTCTCTAGCCTAGACAATGACCCCCAAACATACGTCACTGCTATTTTTCTTGACCGATTGGGAAAATGTCAGGGCCCCACCTTGTAGTTGTCCCCAGGGCTACTTATTTGAATCCATAGATAATTATAGTTCTCTATGTGAGGTAGGCGTCCCCTGGAGGTGGGAATGAGCTCCTCCTTGCTCTTGCAACAGAGTAGCATTGGCATACTGAGAAGTAGCTACAGCACTCAGTTGCAAAACTTTTGCCATGCCAAAATTCTTGCTCCAGGCACTCAGTAGCCTTTGGTTTGTGATGATTTACGCCAATAATAGCGCTTCATGCAGTCATGCCAGCCACATGACCATGGAGGTGGCTACGGACAACGCTGGCTCTTTGGCTTAGAAATGGAGATGAGCACCAACCCGTAAAGTCAGGGGAAAGAAAACCTTTACTAACCTAATCCCAAAGCAACTCATTTCACAGACCTGTTTCTGCTTCAGAGTCTCACTAAGGCCCAAGAAAAGTCAGGAATGAATCTCTCCATATTTTCCATGCTCAAGACACCCTTTCCCCCATAAGTGACATTCATCAGGCAGCTGGTAAATGTACAGAATCTCTGTTTAACAGCTATTAACAAGAAACGTTATTTCACTCAATTTTCCTAGATCCCCAATTCCACAGCTGTCTTCTAATTCCTAATAGACACTAATTGTGGAGTGCATTTAGTGCTGAGGTAGCAGGTGCTTTTGTCTGACCCCTTCCTCCCAACCAACCCACTGCTCTGGGAGTGTTAAGAGTCTTCTCTTCTCTCTAGGAGTTATCCTTCTGTTGCTGGAACGCTTGCGCCGAATTGGTTGGGAGCAGATGTGGCGGCTGACAGCAGAAAGGGAACTCATGAGCATGCTGTCCACCTCGCTGGCAGACCAGGCAAGTGTCTAAGCTTTGCTGTCATTTCCACTGAAGCCCGTAATATGTCTTTTTCGATTCGTCTTGAGCTGAGGATGAACGTTGCCATGTGATACAAACCAATTTGTTTGCTCCTGGCTTGACCCCACACTTGCTTTTACCCTGGGGCTTTCTCCTCTTCCAGAGTGCAAACTGCAGTCTCTCTTCCAGGACATCTTTAATGCGGTGATCAAACAGAGTCCTGCCCTGGTTTACCGGCTCCCTTGCTTCTGGAATGTGCAGCTCTCTGATCACACACTCTCAGAGCAGTGCTACACAGAGGTGTCTGATTTGAAGGTAGGCAACTTAAGTTTGCAACCCTCGCCAAAGTCACTGGGGCTCTCTAGCCAAGGCAGGTTGGGTGCTGAACAAGTGCTAAGTGAGGATAGTCTCTCGGTCCCACCGCCATCGCAGTCGTGTTTGGTGGGGATGAGAGACAGGGCCTTGTCCATAGTGGCCCCTCAGCTGTGGAACTCCCTAATAAGGTTAGATCTGCCCCCCTCCCTTCTGACCTTCTGGAAGAAACATAAATCCTGGTTATGGGATCAAGCGTTTACAGAATAGTTGTTTTTACTGGGAAGACAAGATTTTATTGGACTGTATGTGGATTGTTTTGGATGATGATTTTAATATGGCGATTTTAATCTGGTGAATTAGTTCTAATGTATATATTTTTAAAATATTTTAATGTATTTTAATGGATGTGTTTGGCATTGAATTGTTGCCTGTTTGGAAGCTGTTCTGTGTCTCTCCTCAGAGGTTAAGAAGGACGGGGTATAAATGCCTGAAATAATAATAAATAATAATTAACAGACCTTGGTTTTCCTCAGGTCATTCACTGGAACTCTCCCAAGAAGTTGAGAGTGAAGAACAAGCATGTGGAGTTCTTCCGAAACCTGTACTTGACCTTCTTAGAGTATGATGGGAACCTTCTGCGCAGAGAGCTCTTTGGCTGTGCCAGTTTGCCCAGCTTAACCAGTGGCCAGGTGAGAGTTTGCCTTCCATGCCTGAAGAGCTCTTGCAGGCTTCTAGTGCATGAAGCTGGTCTCTTTGTGTGCATGGTTGGAGTGGGGACATGGGTGAATGGCTCCCAGATTTTCCAAGCAAGCAGCCTTATGCTCCTGTGCTGCCATGGAGCCTTGACTTATCCAGGCTCTTTTCTTTTGCTTTAGAATGGGGTGACATGTGCCACACTGAATTTAATTCAATATGTTCATTCAAGCAGAAGGTGGCCGAAGTGGACTCCATGATGTATCATTTTGTATAATGATCTTTACGCTTCAAAAAATTACCCATGCATGCAAGGAGAGGAAGTCCACTATGTCCTGTTTTATTAAGTGGTGCTTGAGAGACTTGAAATGTAAAGAACCATATAAATTTCCATTCCAAAGGGTGGTGATAATGGATGATGTAATTTAGGAAGAAGGGAGAAAGCCTTCAATAAGCACAGATAAAGACAAAGGAATGTTTAATAATAAAAAATAAACAACTTTATTTTTAGACCTCCCTATCTCCCCCGGAGACACATACAAATATTAAATGCCCAGCATATACGAAAACATTACAGCAATAAACATAATATGGAATAATAACAGCATTGTACTAATCAAATGAAATTAAGTATCAAAATAAAAACAGAACAACTAATCACCAAACAAATACATTTAAAAGCCTGGTCAACAATAAAACATCTAACATAGCACAGTTAACAATTGGGTAGACATTTGGCTGTTTAATGTATTGTCGAAGGCTTTCATGGCCTGAATCACTGGGTTGTTGTAGGTTTTTTGGTTATATGGCCATGTTTTAGAAGCATTCCCTCCTGACGTTTCGCCTGCATTTATGGCAGGCATCCTCAGAGGTTGTGAGGGCATTGTGAAACTGTGGCCCTCCAACTGTTTTTGCTTCCAACTCCCAGAAGCCCTTGCCAGGTTGTTCAATAGCTGGGGAGTTAGGGAGCCCCAAACAGGTGGAGGGCCTCAGTTTGAGGATACCTGGTCTAATGGGAGGATTGCCCTTTCTTCTCCCATACTTTGCCCTTATATGTCTGTGGTACAGTTCTTTCCTCTGAATCATAATGACAAACCAAAAGCCATGTTCCATCGTTCTCCCACTTAGAACAACATATACACATGATTTCAATTACTGGCTTAGTTGTAATTGCTTGGTATTGTATTTTTTTTGTCCCGATTTTTACTACCTTTACTTTGTTTCTCCAGACAGTTCCATATTTTAATGATACACTGTGGCTCTATTTACTGACCATCATTTAAGTCTTAGCCTTACATCATTCCTCCTCTTCCTTCTGTGTAAATTTTAGCTCCAACAGGCTTTAGAGGAACTGGATGAAGATGATCCTTGTTACGATTTTCGGAGACAGAGCCTTATTCAGCACCGTGTGCATCTCTTCTTCCTCCAGTATGACTTTCCAGCCTCAACTGATGCAGCAGATGTCACTCTCATTGCTCAGCTGTCCATGGACAGGTACTAAATGCAGAAGAATCGTGCAGGAAGGGGTTGTGTCTTCTGCCACGAACTCCAATGCTCAGAAGCAAGACCTTTATCATTAGTCAGACAGTATCAGTCCCAAATCAAGTTGCATAGTACCAAGGACAACCCAGTTCATTTTGGCAGATGAGGTGGAAAATTCCATAAGCACTTCTCTTTTTTTCCTGGCAGTAAAATACAGTATCAGTTGCCCTAATATGAAGTAATTTTCTCAGTCTACCCAAGAATAGGAGTGGCCCTAGTTCATGGGTTTGTGAGTCGTCTGGTAAATTAAATGAGAAAGCTGTATGATGCAGATTGTAAGAATATATACATCTTCCCCAAAATTTCTGGTTCTGTTTGTTTGTTTGTTTGTGTGTGTGTGTGTGTAAAGTCTTTAGCACTCAGAACCTTTAAGCAATATTTAGAAACATGATGAAAGTCTGCTAAAGAGTAAAAACAGCAAACTGGTACTTTAAAAATAAAGTGCAACATCTTGAATTTTAAAAGTCAGGAGCAGTAGCATGAACAGTGGCAAATACTAGCCTATAATTCTGTAATTCTGTCAGTGATATCTGTTACTATAATTGGTGTTCAATAACACTTGGGGGGCTATTTTAATTATTTCTTATTATTTTTATTATTTTAGTTTATTTTTATTTTCATTTTATTTTAATTTGTCTGTATAGTTTTCCTTTTTGGCAACTGAATGTTTTGCCTTATATATTGGAAACCACCCTGAGTCCCCTTGGGGAGACAGGGTGGTATATAAATAAAGCATTATTATTATTTTACTGACACAAAACACAGTATGACGCAGCAAATGAGATGTATATGCTGGATTTCATATCACAAAATCACAAGTCAAACACTTCACAAGCGTATAGGACTGTGTGATGCATTTTTGAATGATGTGCGCAGAACCAAGTGAAGTGGCCTTTTGCAGTTGACAGATCATGATTTTGTCAATGTTTATGGTTTTCAAATGCTGGCTGAGGTCTTTTGGCACGGCACCCAGTGTGCCGATGACCACTTGGACCACCTGTACTGGTTTATGCCCGAGCCTTTGCAGTTCGATTTTGGGGTCTTGATAACGGCTGGGTTTTTCCTGTTGTTTTTCATCAATTGGACTGTCACCTGGTATAGCAACATCAATAATAATAATAATAATAATAATAATAATAATAATAATAATATTGTTATTATTTTATTGTGTCATCTCTTCAGTCATCATCTGCTGTAGGGATGTACCTGGACACGAGCCAATTGCTCTTCCACCCCTTAAGCTGAATTTCTGAGTTATGTGGCAACTATAGTAGCACGTGGCTTATGTTACAGTTCTTGGTTATAAAAAAGGGGATATGGAAGTACTGGAAAAGCTGCTGAGATGGAGTAAAAGAAGACTGCAGAATGGGGAGTGGTACGGCTGCTGTAGGGGACCTGGACACATTGATAAAATGAAATACTAACCTTTCTTCACCACTGGGATCCCGTAGTCACATAGTTCTTGTTGATGATGCTGTTCTTTGCTGAGACTACATTATGCTCTTGTTCTGTCTCCTTGATCTGCAGGTTGCAGATGCTAGAAGCCATTTGCAAACACTGGACAGGCCCCATTAGCCTGGCATTGTATCTGTCGGATGCAGAGGCCCAGCAGTTCCTGCGTTATGCCCAAGCCTCGGAGGTGCTGAGTAACCGCAGGAATGTTGCCTATCACATTGTGTACAAGGAAGGGCAGTTTTACCCAGTGAACTTCTTGCGCAATGTAGCATTGAAGAATGCGCAGACATCCCATGTCTTTTTGACTGATATTGACTTCCTGCCCATGTATGGCCTTTATGATTACCTCAGGTATGTTTTTTATTTGAGGCCCTAGGAGTTCCCTGCTTGTGGGGTGGGGGTGGGGGACAAGATGGTAGCTGTTGCCACTAGATGACGGAGTGGAGAATTTCTTCTCTCTTTCAACATATATGCTCTAAAAATTGCTCCAGAGAACTGGGGAATCTTCCAGAGCAGGTTTTCAATGCTAAAGAGCATTGTAAGGAATTTCTGACACAACATTTGTTTGGGGGTCCTGTTTTTGTGGTGGCATTACTCTTACACTCCCAACTGTGGTCTGGGTTATAGGATAATGTCTTTTCCCCCTGCCCCATCTCTCTGGGCCCTTCCAAATCTGTACATTTATTTAGAAGGTACTTCATAACATTCTAGTATTAACATCAGGTCAACAAATGTGTCAGTTCCAAACAAAATTCACAGAGAAGGCGGGACAGTTGTGAAGTTTCAATGGAGCACAAACAACAAACCAGCTTCCATTTCCCTTTGTGCCACAGGACCTCAATTGTCCAGCTGGAGCTGCCCGAAAGGAAAGCTGCGTTCATTGTGCCAGCATTTGAGACTCTGCATTACCGCCTGACCTTTCCCAAATCCAAAGCGGAGCTGGTCTCCATGTTGGACATGGGCTCCCTCTATACCTTCAGGTAAGTGAAAAACCATAAAACTCCACCATCAGCAAGAGAAACTGGCTTCTTCCAGTGTTAGTCTCTTGCAGTATAAAAAGGAGAGGGATAAAAAGCAATGTAGTGCCACCTTTAAGACTAACTGGTTTTTATTTCAGCATGAGCGTTCATAGAAATTTATCAGTTTCTTCAGATGCAGAAAACATACCACTCTGTAGTGCATCTGAAGATGGTTTATATCCACAAAAATTCATGCTAAATTACAACCTGTCAGTGGTGTGGCTCTTTTCCTTTTCCCCTCCTCCCTTACTCCTTTTTACATTCAATATTTTAGCAACCCTTTCTTTAAGCCAACCTCTCCCATTACTTCTCCCTAGGTCTTGTTGTTCCCTGTTCCTTTTTTCTTTGGCTCAGGACCTTGTTTTGATCAGTCCCAAAACTTCTTTCACTCATCATGATCTATCAGATCTATTGTCATTACAGTTTTTCATATGAGAGGCCAGAGTCCGGTGGTGCAATAGATTAAACCCTTGTGCCGGCAGGACTGCTGACTGAAAGGTCAGCAGTTCAAATCTGGGGAGCAGGGTGAGCTCCCTCCCGTCTGTCAGTTCCAGCTTCTCATATGGGGACATGAGAGAAGCATCCCACAGGATAGTAAAAAAATATCCGGGTGTACCCTGGGCAATGTCCTTGCAGATGACCAATTCTCTCACACCAGAAGCGACTTGTAGTTTCTCAAGTTGCTCCTGATACGAAAAAAAGAGAGTCCAAGAATCAAATGATTCTGCTAAGGCCAGTGAATCTGTGGGATAAGGAAAGAATCTAAAGCCATTCAGATCAGCATATTTGTAGGAAATAATGGGTCTACTGGGCTGACAACAGCAGCAAGAGTAGTAAAATATGAGACAAGGAGTCTTGAGTTCAAATTGCCACTTAGCCACAAATGTACTGTGTTTACCTGCACTAGGTGTACTTGTTCATAGAATATTGCTGGAGTAGATGTGATGCAGCAGTCTCCTTGGGATTAAGAGATAAATACTCATAACAGAATAACTATTGATAGTGAATACAGAAGAAGCATAAAGTCATCATCCCACTTAATTAAATATGGTATTTTGTAATGGTCCTGTAACATTAGAGAAGCAACAACATGAGTTGACCTGCATGACAAATTTTTTAACCAGTTTTGTGGAGAAGACAGAACTTTTCACAATTTGCAATATCTTTGCTGCAGGTACCATGTTTGGCCACAGGGCCATGCACCAACAGACTATGCCAAGTGGCGGACAGCCACTGTGCCATATCAAGTGGAGTGGCAGCCACACTTCGAGCCTTACGTTGTAGTAAGGCGTGACTGTCCCCTGTACGACCAGAGATTTGTAGGCTTTGGCTGGAACAAGGTGTCACATATAATGGAGCTTGATGCCCAGGTAAGTAAGCTGCTAGGATCTTGTAGTCATCTTGCTCTTCCTGCTCCAAGAGAGCAAGGGCTTGAGGGAATGGCCTCCTTCTTCCTTTCTATGCTGCAAACAAGCAGAACCTATGAGTGGCTTCCTTCCTTGTTGCAGGAATATGAACTACTGGTCCTACCCAATGCCTTCATGGTCCACATGCCTCATGCCCCCAGCTTCGACATTTCCAAATTCCGCCGGAGTTCTGCCTACAGGGACTGCCTGAAGACCCTGAGAGAAGAGTTCCATCAGGACATGTCACGCAAGTATGGGGCTGCTGCACTCAAGTACCTCACGGCTGAGAGAAATCTGTGAAAATAAACCTGGACACCAAAGGACTGTCTGCATAAGAGCGGCAGAGGGACAAAGCTCTCCTAGAAGAGGTTCATACTTGCACCAAAGTCTCCTTCCCCGTGGTAGTGTGATGGCACAACCCTTCCTAGTTTGTGGAAAATTCAGGGGAAATACCTACTCTTCATGGTTATGCATATTCAATGGCAAACAAATTGAAGTTCGGCTCTCCATCTAACTTGGAATAAGTACCTCGTTATGCACCTGCAGATTGCTTCAAAAATGAGGGAAAGATGTCCTGTGAGATGAAGGACTCAATCCCAACCACTCTGAAACATGCTTTAGGAAAGGGCTCATAATTCTGTGATGGACCCAAAGAGCTAGACTTCTACTGTGTTGCAGTTCCATATCAGGCTAATTAGTTCTTTCCATTCTACTTTTGTACCAAATTCTGTATTCTTGTTTGTGCACTTGCATATTTTGGGGCAATCTAGTCATGATAGATAAATATCATTTACAGCAGTGGTTCTCAACTTGTGGGTCACCAGGTGTTTTGGCCTACACCTCCCAGAAATCCCAGCCTGTTTACCAACTGTTAGGATTTTTGGGAGTTGAAGGCCAAAACATCTGGGGACCCACAGCTTGAGAACCACTGATTTACAGCATCAAAGATGAGATACTCCTATATATCACTTACTGGGAAGTGCCCATGAGAGGGTGTTTATGTGTTGCTTGATGATTTCTTGTAGGCATCCAGTTGCCACTGAGTGAACAGAAATGCTAGAGAGAGGTTTGGTTTGATCCCGCATGGCATATCTTATTTTATATCCACATTTTCCCTTCCTCTCATTATCATTTCTTTAAAACCAGATCTGAAGTCAGACAAGTAGAGTTCAATTATTTATATTAATTGGATGTATGCAAAGGTTCACTTATTTTTCCAGCAGAAAGTGTGGCCTCCGAATTCTATCCATGTCAGCAGGTCCAGAAGTCCTTCATTTCAATCAGGTTCCCTATTGTCCATGGTTTTGTGTATCCGCACAAAATTCAGGAATGTATCCCTTGTGCATATGAAGGCTATACTGTCTGCCTTTGATATGGATTGGTTTGGTATGGCTCCTATCCTGCTTTATCTGGAGTCAGTCCCAAGTGTTCCTTCACAGGCATTTATTTTTATATGGTGAAAAAGCAAAGGGTAAGAAAAACCATGGGCACAGGTATGGGTTATGTATCTTTTTCAATTGAGGCTTATCAAGTGGCCTTGAAATGTTTATGAGAAGTGGTTTTAGAGACAGGCCTTCTGACCCTTTTCTGTATTCTGTCATCAAAAAGGCACATTCACTGACTTCTTTACATGGAACTCAATGGCTATTGTGATTAATAGCTCAGATGTAATCTTGATAGTGCACATCATTGCCAAGGAAGCTCTTCCCCCTTTCTTGGGAGTACATCAGAAGTTGCATAGTGCTCTGATCCTCTCTCCCAGGGAGCTGGAATATGGCCGCGTGCTGCTGTTTTCTTCTTAATGGTTCATCATGTTCTCTTCTATGTTTTAACAGCAGGGCCGAGTGCTACACATTTGACCTCAGTATCTTCCTACATGAGAGCTGAAGGCAGCTGTTCTTGTTGGTATGTGCCTTCAAGCAGTTTCCGACTTGTGATGACCATGAGGCTAGCCTACCATGGGGTTTTCTTGGCAAGATTTGTTCAGAGTGGTTTTGCCATTGTCCTCATCTGAGGCTGTGATTTACCCATGGCTGAGCCAGGATTCAGACCATAGTCTCCAGAGTCATAGTCCAGTGCTCAAACCTCTGCACCACACTAGCTCTGTGGAAAGTGACGGCAGACCTTTATCAGTGAGAACTTTCTCTGGAAAGGGCTTTTCCTCTTATTGGAAAGTGAGAAGGTGGATCTGTCATTTCAGGAGGCATCACCGTGCTATTAATGAGTGCTGCAGCTGGATGCCTGCGCTGGGAGCAGCATCAGCCCAGCCTTGGTTCACGGATATCAAACACTGGCGCAGGGGGTGGGTGGGTAGGCATAAAGTGCAAGTACTTTCTCGCTTGCTATTTATATAATTTAAAGTGATTTTCTGTAAGGTGTAAATGATTTGGGGGAGTTATACATTTTCTAATGGTTTCTTATTCTCTCTTTAGACCTGGAGTATCTCCAGGGCCTCCTGCTGCTAGATTCTGGTTTCTCCTTTGATTTCCTGGTATTATGCAAGAGTCCCAAAGCGTGGGGCTGGATTTTTTTTCTGTCCCAAGGTGAACAGGCTCCTGCAAATGCTGAAAGTGATTCAAATGGAGTATTGTAATGAATGTGCATAGATACTGTCTGCCTTTTTTTTAAAAAAATAAAGGTTTTAGATATTGTTTTTCAAGTCTCTGATGCAGTTATGTGGTTATTCTGTCACAAGTGACTGCTTCAAATAGAGTACTGAGATAGGTATTACTTCCCTCATTTTTACTGTTAATAGGTGAGGCAAGGTGTTTGTGTCTGTCTGTAGGCAGAGCTCTATTAGACATCGTGCTCAGCATTCACTCTGGGAATTTTCTGCATTTCTCAGTTGACAGGTTACTACTGTCAAGCTGCAGGCAAGGGGAGCTTGTCAAAATGAGGACTGAAAGGGAGAGGTAATAGTTGACAGACATGAAACATATTTAAAATATTGCCCATACCAGATGCATGAAATTATTCATAAGAGTCTCAAGTAGCTTGCTCTGTTAAGCTCTTATGGTCAGGCTAGATCTGCTTGTAGCAAACCTAGTCAAAATCAGGACAATTGCTGCTCCTTTTAAGTGACAAGGGAATCAAGTGATAGGGAGCTGAACCTTTAGCTTCAATATTACTTTCTAAAAAGTGTTTTTCCATCTAGAACTCAAAGCAAAGCAAAGCAAAAACAACTGTTTAAAAGAGTAAGATTAGAAGCACAGGTTCAAGGTTGATTCTGCTTCCTCTGCTCATCCTGTGCTTTCAAATTCTCCCTAGACTGCTTTTCTGCTGGATGGTGTATTTGTAAAACAACTTCAAGCGCTGAGCTCTAATGAGAAAAGAAGAAAATGTGTTTAGGAAAGACTTTCCCCTAGGAATTAAGAACAAGGAGAATGTGGATGGTATACCAGGAGGAAAAGAGATCTGGAGTTTAGCTGAGGATAGGGGCAAAAATAAAAGGGAACAGAGAGAGGAGGAGTAAACAGACTGAGAAAAGATTTGAGGGAAGAGGAAGAGGATCCACAAAGAAAGAACACAAGTAAAAAAAACAAGCCCCCCTGGTGGCCCAGCGGGTTAAACTGCTGAGCTGCTGAACTTGCTGACTGAAAGGTTGGTGGTTTGAACCTGGGGAGCGGGGTGAGCTTCCTCTGTTATGCCCAGCTTCAGCCAACCTAACAGTTCAAAAACATGGAAGTGTAGATAAATAGGTACCACTTCTGCAGGAAGGTAACAGTGACCCATGCAGTCATGCTGGCCACATGACCTTGGAGGCGTCTACGAACAACGCCGGCTCTTTGGCTTAGAAATGGAGATGAACACCACCCCCTAGAGTTGGATATGACTAGACTTAACATGGGAAACCTTTACCTTTACCTAAAAAAACAATTTGGGGGATTGTTTGTCTAAAAAGAATGATCAAATGAAATGGGACAGGGGTATTTGGTTCTGATATTCTGACAACTAGTCTAAAACCCAGCTTTGAATACAAGGCTTCAACTTAGAACTGTGCCTTTGGACAGAAGGGCTGCTTCATAATATATGACACAGACTCTGTTTTTTATTCAACCTGCCTTTTGTTCAGCATTAATACATGACAGACAGTGAGTGTTGTATGAAAAAGCTCACTACAAAGGCAAGAGATTTTATTGTTTTATTTAGTAAAATGTTAAATAAATACAAATTGATCATTTATTGTGGTGTCCCCACCCCCTTTTTTTCTCCCCACTTTAATAGACTAAATCTAAACACAATGTACCAAACCCACAAGGGACTGGAAGGCTACAGAAAGAAGGCAGCAAAGAGACTGAAAAATCACTATGAGCACCAGGCTATTATTTAAAAAAAAACCTTTAACAACAACAAAAAAATATCCTGCCTAGCCAAATGTTCAAAGACATGCATCCACATACCATTCACAGGATGTCCATCTGTGGAAGTCATGTTATACCCAATTCATTTAAAGAAGGCTTTTCAAATTATACAGAATTCAGGATGCAGAGACAGTGTAACTAACTGTAGTTGACTTTGTCTAATACAAACATCAGGAGAGGAAGAGTTGAGGGCGGGCGTGGGTCTGTGACTCAGTACATCAATACACGTTTGCCCCAAAAAACAAAGGCGGTGAGATTGTTTGGGCAATAGTCTTTACACATGCCCAATTTACTCTGAGGAGTCCAATTTTACTATTATGAATGACACCTGCTGTTAAACACAGAATGGGTAGTTACTAAGTCATCCACAGCAGTTTCTGCTGCTGCTGCAAAATGGAATGGAACTACAAAATAGGTGACAAATGAATATAACATCGAAAACACACTGTAGTTTGCACTTGACAGCATGAGTGAGGCATGAAGAGTATTCAGCATTTGATAGGTCATTTTATGATCAAACTGATACGTTTCCAAATGTAATAATACCTATGATGGTGAATTCTTAATCTTGATTGATTCCCACTAGCTTGTTGTTCATAATATAAAGTAGCATTTGTGGTGTGTTATGTAAAGGGTTAAACTCAACCAACTCTTGCTTCTTTCAATCTAAACCGTGGGACAAAAACCAGCAGTAACTAGAAAACTGAGTTTGATCCTTGCGGGAGGACATTTCTTGGAACTAGGCTCCTTCAGTTGATGTGATATGTAGGTATAGTGTAAACCAGTTGAACGGAGTGGAACAATGATATGGATCTTACTATTGTATAAGGAAGGATCAGCACGATGTAAGGGTCTTCCATCTAAATTTCAAAGAGAGGCTAGGGATGGCTGAAATGATAAATGTTGGTGTCAGTGCTAGTCTTGTTCCCAAAACAGTCATTGAAGTAGGGGTGTAATAGTAATTAAAATACAACCATTTGCAAATGCTACCAAGATTGATGCACAAAGCAGCAGTTAAAGTGCCATGTTCGCTGTATATGTTAGTGCTAATTGAAGTGGTGACTATGGAGTGTGGCCGCAAGCCGTCAACTGCTAGTCCCTGGGGAATTTATAGGAAAGCAAACAACTGTAGCCAAGAGGCACAAACTGCCAGTCTCAGCCTGGGAAATGCGCTCTAGTCCATTCTTGGTAACACAAATAATTATTCCAGCACCTGCATAACAGAACAGAAACTTAAAAAACTTTCCATTAATCTTCTGCAAGTAGGTAAACAGGGCAGGAAGTAGAGATGCAGTTATGTTATGGTCAGGAATGGCGAATCAGCATCTGTGATCCTCCAGATGCTGGTCTCTGATTCTGACCAGGTGTCACCAGTGGTTGGGGAGACAGAGTTTCAGTCCCAAAATATCTGTAAGACCATAGCACACCCCTTCCAATTCCATGTCCTAGTATTTCACTTGCAACCTTACTTGCAGAGCCCGGGGATTTACCCACATAGTTTTGGGGGTTTTTTGGTAGAAACCTTAGGAAAATAAAAGCTAGATTTTGTGCATACCTTAATCCTGACTGAAGAAGGAGAGTCTCTTCTTATACTTATATATTTGTGGTCTAGTTTTGCTGTGGAGAGTTAAGCAAGTAACTGTGGTGGAGGAACATGATTTTCAAACCCAAGTCTTTAGATTGATATAGGGCATATATTAAAACATAAACTTGAACAAAGAAAGAATGAATAAGGTAGTTATAGGAATGTCAAGGGTTGCATGCGGGTCATAGTGTAGTACTCCATTACCACCAACCCTACTTTATTTTTGCTCCCCCAAATAATAAACAGTCACTTCTTGTTTAAAGGGGGGCCTTTTTACCTTAAAAGAGTCATTTAGGAGATTTGCAGAAAAACCGCAAGCTACGTTGCATAAAAGTACCAGAAAAGGATGACATACTTAAGTTCTAGAGGAGGACAAAATGGTTGTCAAATACTAAAAAATTGCCCAGCCCCTTTCTAAGGCGGCAAAAAGAGCTGGTTTACATTTTCTAAGAAGCAGAATAAAAACAGAAAATGTAAATGTAGGATATACCGTGCTGGGCTAAAAGTGGAGAGGATGTTGGCATTTATCTGTAGGCACCACAGAGCTGGCCCTTGTATACCCACAACTTTCTAACACATAATATGCATCTTTCTAAAATATAACATATTGGCAATGCTTAAAGGATTTTTATTGCCACTAAACTGGAAAAGAGGCCACCAATAGGACAAAAATATAGAAAACAGAATGGCTTCCACTTGGCAAGGAAGTCAGACAATGGTGCACCCTGTTGGTTTAATTGATATGCATCACATATCATATAGAAAGTAGCACTAGACTCGTAAGGGAAGAGATGTAAAAAACGAGAAAGGTGAGAAATTTTCAGAGGACACGGCACTACTTGCAAGGAATAGCAATGATTTGGAACATTAAGGGAGAAAGTGCACATGCAGGTGTTGCAGCTGCATATTAAGAAAACACAAACGACCACCAAACATGTGATTTTAAGGTGGACGATTGAGATAAAGATATTGCTAAAGATTTTCTATATTCTTGGCTCACTTCTGATTATAGTCAAGAAATCAGAAGATTACAACGTGGAAGGGCAACAATGGGGGAACTGATAAGATGCTTAAAAACAAAGAAATATCACTAAAAACCAAAATCAAGCTCATCCATGCTATAGTATTTTCAGTTTCTATGTATGTGGGAAAAAGCCAGACACTGAAGAAAGGGGACAGGAAATTCATTTGAAATGTGGTGCTGGAGCAATGTATGGATACCATCGAGAGCCCAGAAGCCAATAAATGAATCCAAGAACAAGTCTGAATTCTCTCTATACACCATACTTTGACAGATGATAACATCACTCATGACATGATCGTATTTGGCAAAATTGAAAGCAGGTGGATCAACTCAATCTAAATAACCATGGTCCTGAGTTGGAAAGACCTAAGCAGGGCTGTTTATAACTGTGTCCCTTGAAGGCCATTCAATTCGTTTTTGCCATGAGTTGAAGCCAACTTGCCAGCACATAATAAACTAATGCTCACTACACTTTCACAACTGAGTGCTGAGAAAATCTAGTGGTCCACACAAGTTCACCCAATGCATTTTTCAGTCTTTACATTGGGGAGCATTAAATTAAAGCTGCTTGTCACATGGTAAAATATGTGCAACCCGGTCCAAGATTCACATCCCCAGCAACCTGTATATATGGGACTTCAATCTCGTACAGAAGTCAATACAAAACATCAAGAGGAGTAAGAAACGACAATGACAAAGTGACCGAGTAAAAGCAACTAGCCAACAAGATTCAACCCTGAAGCACAAAGCATCGATGTTTCACAGCACTAAAGGTATTTCTCTGGCAGGTTCCTCCACTGACGAATGAACCCAGTAATTTTGCAAATACTATTCTGCACTTAGTGAGGCACGGGTGATTCTAACTAAGAAAATCATCTGCAATGACAATCCATTATTGAACAGGGCAAATTTTATCTTATTACTCTTATTCACAAATGCTCTGTAGCTCCTTTACATTTTGAGTACAACTCTCAAGGTGAAAAAATAGAAACCCAGATGCCAACTACAGTGTTTTATACACTCGGGCTTTCCTAGTCAACAAACAATGTATGTATCCACCTCTAGAGTATAAAAGAACTGACTGCATTTATTCTTTCCTTTGCCCTGCATACCATAAATCAAATCCAGCAAAAATTTCCCTCTATATGAAACCAAGACAAATGGGATTAGGCTATCCACTGGTTGTCCCCCTTCTTACCATTTCCCCTTACCTCTTGCCAAGAAGGATTCCTCAACAGAAGCACGGACAAATGAATATAGAGAGGTTGCAACAATTATTGAAAAAATTGTAAAATATTAGGTTGGGCATTATACAGCCATGCTTGCCTTAACTATTTCACATTCTAACATGCTGGATGGCTGCTGCACTCTACAGGCAGAGTTTTATTACTGACGCTACTAGACACAGGAGGCCAAAGGCAAAGGAGAGAAATTGCCTCAGATGATAAGGAAAGATTCCAAAGCTGGTTTTTCAGCACGTGAGAAAGTGCCTCAACAAACTGTATCCCTAGTACACCTCAGCCCTTTTTATTTGGAAGGGAGAATGAAACCAATAAGATTATATTACTTTTCTTAATATAAACTCCAGGTAAAGTTTTGCAGCCAGGTCAATTTAATAAGCTCTAAGAGGTCATAAGGCCCATTCCCTGGATTCACAAACACTTGGGCCATCCTGAATGAAACTGCTCCTGCGAGAGAAAGGAACACCATGATACAGGGAAAGAAGGGATGGCTCACTGGAATGGTTGGTATCGAGAAATTCCATTAACCTCCCTCCCTCTGTGAGCAATACAAATGATTCATTCTCCAGAGTACAAGTAGTTTCTTTCTGTAATTGAAGGATGGCCATTACTTATGGTCCAAAGTGTGAGATCTTATGTGTTTTACCCCCTTGCCCTTAAGGGGACCTTGATGTAGGCCTCCACATCTTATGACTCATCAAACCCAATGCTTGCCACCCCACATGGCTTTTAACATTCCCTGCCAGGCAGCAGCACCTGTATTCTTTCACATTTAGTGGGCTGCATCTGACTTGATAGGTGACAGTATGTTCTGAGCCCTTATTTTTCTCTGTGTGCTGCTGTGATGAGGAAAAACACAGCAGTGTTCAGGCTACCTTCTGGTTCTACTTAACTAATGCTACCTGGTTCTTAAGACACACAGCTTCACTACAGAATATCAACAATTTATGGTAAGACTTGACTTCCAGAGCTGTTAAACAAGAATCATTCTTACATTTCACTGATAGCATGAAATAAGATACCAGATATATAGAACTTCAAAAATAGTAAACAAAACCAAATAAATCTTGGAGCTTGAGAAATCCCTGTCAAGACAAAAATGGTTGTAAAGAGAAAGTAAAACAACTGGCTTGATAATACAGATGTGGTATGAAGAAAGTTCAAATGAGTATACAACTAAAGTGCTTATAAATGCATAGTTCTTAAACATAGACCAATGAAAGCATGCAATTACCATCCCTAGAGGGGCTCAATGAAGAGATCTACTTATGCATGGTTTGATGAGGCTGAAGTCAACTCTGCCATGGTTTACTACAGCTATCACCAATTGGAGTAATTTGAAAATGTTGACTGGCTATATTCAAATACATAAACTGACTACTTCACACCCATGGGATGCCCACTGTCAGAATTTTACAGTATGGAAACAACTATGACTATTTGCAGCAGAAGATAGACAAGCTGTGCTACCCAGAAGCAAATCTCAACTCCTTCAGGCCCATTTGCTCATTACTTTTTGGCATTGTATTGCTATAGAATAAAAGGAGTTAATAATGCTGATGATGTTTTTCTCTGTGCTTTAAGCACACAAGATAAGAAAGAAGGAAATCAAAACAGTGGCCCCCCAGCTTAAAAAAGGTTTGTAGCTTTCATACAGGTTCGATATGACAATTTCCAGAAACACATACCAAGAAGTTTTCAAACAGGAGAACAGCAGAATGGTTAAAACCATAAGCAAAATCTGTTAAAAAAGTCTAAGTAGACAGCATTTTCTCCAGTTCTGACACCTTTTTAATAGAAATCACTTGTTTAGGAAACAAATAGCACTTTTGTAATTTTTTACAATGTTTCTTACCTTGATCTTATTTTAAGTAACACTAGGAAGACCTCAATATCTTTTTTTTCTTTTTAATTTAAAAAAGTTGTTTTTTCCCCCAGATACAAAGATTTTGCCCTTGCATAAAAAACAGTGCCCAAAACGATGACACACGGACTCACAAAGACTCACTGTATCTCACTGACACTATTACTTCTAATCTATACCATGCAAGGTCCCATCTACCTCTTTAATTGGACTGTCAGCCTGAAAAAGAGTTTTTCTATTCCTTACATTTGTAACCAAAAGAGAAAGGTAAGAAATGAAACAGGCATTTTAACTATTTGGGCAATACATTTGGGACATGTGCTGTACTGTTTGGGATGTTGGTTTTGCTTGACAAATGTATGAATAAAAGAGAAAGAAGAATGTTGGAATTTCCAGTCTTGACCCGCTTCTCAAAAATTCAGGCTGATTGTATCAGTCCCCGCTCCCTCTCTATTCTCCTTAGGAAAAACTACCTGGGATCAGCCTGGGGACATAATCAACAATATATTTGTCAATTTGAAGACAGGAGGGGCGGAGGTAACCCAGAAAATAACCCCAGTTTAGTAACAGCTTTCTGTATCCTGCTAGATATGTAGTGAAAAGTCCCTCCCTCATTCATTTTTTTTTTACTTTCTGCCAAAAGAAAAAAATAGTAAATACTGTTTATTAGATAGGCTTTGTTCCCCCCTACCCCACCCCTTCTGACACTAGGATGTGTTAATTTATATTTCTGGATTTTTGGTTTAGTTAAGTATAGAGAATTTAGAAACAGGAAAAGCCCACAGGCTCTTTGGACTTTGAATTTCCTCTAACTAATCAAACTGGTCTGCAGATAAGATTTGAAACCTGCTCCTCCTCCCTGCTCCCCACCCCCAAATAAAAATAAAACAAACCTATAGTGGCTGTGGAGGCTGCTGCAGGCACACACTGGTGTAAAATATAGAGAGAGTAAATATATTATTTAACTTGGCATGGTGCTGGCTAAGAACCTCCAGCTGGCACTATTCATGTAACATGGTCCAAACTTTGCATGTACACACAGAATAAGAAGGATCCATTGGCAACTCTGGTGCCGCCTGGCACAAGCATCTTCACGTTCGTTCTGGAACCCAAGAGTTCTGCACTTTCCAGAAGAAATCTGGCTGCGCTGTTCAAGAGAGTTTCATTGGTTCGCTCTTCCTCCTTGCTGCTGCTGCCGTCTCCCCCAGCTCCTTCTTCCTGTGCTCTGTTATTTAGTCTCACTCCCGTTGTTACAGTTCACCATGCAGCTCTGGTTGGGGGAGGAGGCTGGGTTGGAGGCGGCAGCGGTATTCGCATTATTGGTTGTGTCCATGCCATTGGAAATGGCTAGTGAGCTGGCCTCCGAGTTCATGGGCTTTGAAAGACTGATGCCCTGGATGAGGCGGATTAACTGTTTTACCTTCTCCAACGAACTGTGCATTTCTTTCTGTCTTGCCAGGATGGTGTTCTTCATCTCCATACATTTCTGAAGGAAATTGGAAGACAGCACTTAATGACTGTGCTAATAAAAAGAGACTTCAAAAGTCAAGAACAATTTCCTTCATCAGCCACCAGAACTGTAGAAACAGGTGGCTTTCATGCCACAGATGGTATGCACCTGATATTGCAGAAAAGTCTGTTCCAAAACAAGGAAGTTGTTTCTCAAGGGAGGGTTTTAATAGCCATAGCTACAGGATATAGGTCGCAAAGAACGTGTGTCTGCACAGACAGAGCTTTGCTTGTACAAAACTTCACAGGAATTTAGTTTAACCCAATGTCTCAGCTGATATACAACACTACCAGAAATGGCAGAGTCAAAAATTGGATATATCCAACATGGGAGCAAGCATGTGATGCTATCTTTGAGCTGCTGAACCAGCAACAAAATCTAGCCATCTATTTTGGGGAGAAGAAGGGTGAAGAACTACTTTATTCAGAAATATAATCAGTTAGAGGGAGATAATAATTTGCAACACATCTATGGATGGGATCTTCTCAGGAAAAGCATTACAAATTATTGCTCAGCTATGAGTTAGTGAACTTCAACATAGAGGCTTAGAACAGTGTTTCTCAACCTCTGGGTCTCCAGATGTTTTGGCCTTCGACTCCCAGAAATCCTAACAGCTGGGAAATCGGCTGGGATTTCTGGGAGTTGTGGGGCAAAACACCTGGGGAGCCACAAATTGAAAACCACTGCCTTAGAACAATGGGTGAAGGTGGGATGGACAAGATGTTTCTGTAAATGAAAAGGGGTGGCATTCAGGAGATTTTCAAGGAATGTAGAGGTTAAAATATCATTTTTTAGGCATAGGGATGTTTGGCCTTATAAAACGTTATTGACTTACTCTAATACTGTATTTTTCTTCTTAGAAAAACATGCACATAACCTTTTTATTTGTGTGATTTAAACTGCTATACCATAAAGTCACTGTTTGTGGTATATCAATTTAAAACAATTTAAATTGATATACCATGAACTGTGACTTTTAGAAAATAGGGCATCCTACTAATTGAAAGAGTGGATCTAAGGAAATATTTCAGGGATAACATTTTTCTTATAAATGCACAGTGATGGTAAAGAAAGTCTCAGAAGTGATACCGTAGGAAGCAAATGGCCATATTTGAGACCTCATGAGTACAACTCCCTGCAGAACACAGAGTGTATAAACCAACTATTGCTTGCCAGAGCGGTACTTACTGTTATAGAGTTGCTGAGCTGTTTGACTTTCTGTTCTAGCTGTTCCCTTTCTTGTTTTAAATCTGAACTCCATTTCAGCAATTTCTGTTTTTCTTCTTCTTTTGCTACATAAGGGAGAAAATCAATTGTATCAGTTATTCCCTGAAGGTATAATTGCTCAGCTGTTTTCCCGGAGCTTGAAAAAGTTATTTTTGGGCTATAAGTCCCAGAATCCCCTAGCCAATATGGTCACTGTTCTTTTCCGTAATGGGACAGCAGAACTAAAGACCAGAAATTATCACACTGAACCATACTTGAAGATGCAAAGCATGCATAAATGTAGTCACATGAGATTCTCTCAGGGCGACATCATATATTCAGCTCTTAATTTCTTTTGAAAACAACAACATCCTATTCCCTTTCTCCAAACAACATTTTCAAAGAAAAGAAAATCAAGCCAAGAACTGTTACCTACCAGTTTTGTATGCAATGTATGAATGCACAATTGCTAAAGTCCCTGGCCATGGAATTGCTTCTTCTTTCTTTAGCATCTGAAAGAAAGGAATGGGCACATTGGCCAACACAGTCTACCTCCAGGGAGCACAGAGGGAGGTGCAGACAAAAAGAACCAAGCATCTCCTAGCTCCACAAAACCCCACACATTCCATTATAACTCCAGGTTTCATGGACATGGCCTCTTTGTTGCTTATGCTGCAACAGATAGATATTGTCATTCCACTAAAAACATACAAAGGAGATCCTTTCACAGCAATCATTAAAGACATTCTTAAAAGAGCCTCTTGGCAATTTCCTTCTTAGAACGTTCTTTCCAAACAAGAAAAGAATGGCAGTTTATGCTTAGATTTACATTTGGGCTGATTCTAGTCTCAGGCTTGCATAAGTGGTCTGACATCTCATCCCTGTGTAATGCAAGAGGGTGGGCTAATGTATATGGAGAAATAACAGAAATAAAATGAATGTATACCTGTATGCAAGATGAAAAGAAAAACCTGTGTGTGTTGCAAGAGAATGTGATGCAATTTTAAAATATATATGTCAAGAATAAGGTAAAAAGGATGCCGTTCTGAGTCCCTCGACAGAGGTAGAGAAGAACGGGATATAAAAGATCTAAATAAATCAATCAATAAATAAATTTAATTACAGAAAACTCATGGAGGTATTGGGGAGGAAGAGCTAATTCAAACTAGTAAAAGACTTGGGAAGGAGGAGCAAAAGAGAGCATAGAATGCTTTTTCCTCTTGTTGTTTCTGGAGCTGAGTGGTCAGATACTATAAAAAATTTCCTTAAAATTGGCAAGAGGAAGGGAGATTTGTTTGTTAATCACTAACTCGTATGTGCCCATGATATTCACAACTAGCTCAAGTACAGCAAACAGAACGTGATGACAAAAAGGTTAGAAAAGTGAGGAGAGAATTACTGAAAAAAATCCCTCAACAGCAGCTTTACTCAGAAAAAGGACAACTGAACCACTGTCCTCACCACACTCCCTAAGCATGTAAACATTTCATTTATTGCTCTACACAAAAAATTCCACAATCATCTGAAAAGGCCCACATGATTTAACAGCATGAAATGCGCACACATCTGCACTATGCCTCCCACAACGGAGGCTTCTTTAATCACAGTGTCAGCAATTTGAACATTACGGTGCATCTACAAACAGCTTCTGCTGATGAAATTTTAACAAGCTGAACAGGAATGCAAAGACAACATATCTGATCTTAAACTTGCCAGCAGAGAGGATTGTGACTTTGTAATTCATAGGCAAACTGCTGAGGCAAGTAGCTCAATATATACACACAGTCTGATAGCAGAGAGCAGTCTCCATGGAGAGAACTAGATGTCACTTTGGCAAATCAGCATTTCCTACAAATGTCTTTGCTTTTTAACTATTGGGCCAAGGGTAGTCCATCTGCCAGTGAGAATGGAGAGGTGAGCAAAGTGTGTGGGCTTAACCAGTTGTTTTTTATGCATTTCAAACACTTATTGAAATCCCCCCCCCCCCCCCCCCCGCACCCAACCTGCCTCATGTTTGTATTCAGAGCTAGCTCTGATGAAAAAAATCTGGGGGCAGAGTTAGATATCCTTCTCCTGCCAGCTGACCTTCCTGTATTAATTGTTCATGTAGAAGCATTACACCGTGTAACAGGATTTTTGTTCCTGGGTTATAAATGTCATTTCCTAATTGGTTCTATTATAAAAACATGGGAAATGTCTATTGAACTGCAAAATCTTTGTTTTTGAGGGACATCCTGAAACACATTTTGCTATAGTTTTTCAATGACTATCTCCTAGTATCTCAACCAAAGCAACAGTTTGTAGCAGCCACAAAAATGACGTTTCTAAAGTATAACAACTACTTTAAAAGCAAGTACCGTGCAATTAAACAGGAAATAACACTTTCAAACCAGGAACAGATTTTGTTGCATAGTTTTATCATTCAAGCACAGAGCTTCCATAATGTTGCTATGATGTAGGCCTTAATACAGAACTTTCTAATGAAACTGTTATGTTTATTCTGGGAAAACATTATTGGAAATGATCCCAGGGAAAATATTTCTGTTGAAATAGCCGCACCTAATCTGAGTTCTGTCCTGAACATTTCATATGTTGCAAAAGTGCAGAAAGCTCTTTGAGATTTGGCTGACAACATCAGCGAGGCTGCATCAACATCCACAACAACAACAACAACAACAAAACCCCATCTGTTCACAAGTGAGATACAAGCAAATGTTGTTGGCCCCTTCTTGGCTGTGTGACCCAATCATTTTGTCCAATGCAATGACTGACTTGAGCAGCATCTCCTTTGGTGTCAAACGATACCTGGTCTTGACATTTGGGACAGATCCACATGCCCTTGGGAATCGTTTTCAGAGGAGGATCCAAACAGTCCAAGTGATATACGCGTGAGCATGTGTCACACATCAGCAACTGGCCACTTTTCCTGCAAACACTGCAGAAATCTTCATGGATATCACCCTATAACATTAAGGGGAAGGGGTAAGAGAGGTGGGGAGTTAACGTTTAATTTTTGTAACCACCACTCATGTTGAAAGTAATGTACATTTGGAAGGAGTCTAAAAATAAATGCTTTCTTCAAGACACATGAAAGGAAAACTACTAATCATGCCACAGCTACAATCAGTATATTCCTAAGATGAAAGCCATAATATATATTTTTGCACAGTTTCCTGAAAAATGTACCTTTGCTAACTAGAGCCATTTCAAATGGTTAAGCCCACATCACTCGTTTATTGTCTTTTCAAAGAAAACAATTTTAGGCTGAAAGAGAAAGCTCCAGTAATCCAGTCTTTTAAAATATGATACAAGACTAGAGCCCCTCAGTTATGTCCCCCATCATAGCCTGAAGTTGCCACTTTGGCTTTACTAAGAATAGATGCAGAGGTTGCAAAATCATAGGCACATTTTTTTTTTACAAAAGACAATGAAAGAATATGCACTTCAAAGTACTGGACAAGGCTTAGAATTAACATATAAAGAGTGTCATACAAAGAAAGATGATGTAGCTTTGGTGGTGTTTTTCATTGTTTGCCACTGTGTTCACTTTCAGTGGATAAATTGGATAAAGCCCTGAGCCTTACTTTTGCAGTTCCTAAAGGCTCCCAGAACAACAAAAGCCCTGGATTACTCCTTCATTAAACTTTTTAACTTCTGGGTAGCCTTCAGGTGATTTTTACCTCAAATGTATCTAAGCTACCACAAAAGTGTGGGTTTATATCTTTTCCCTCATCGCATCAAATCAAAATTTTTCAAAAACAAGCTAGAAAACAGTAGAAATGGAACCCAGAAGTGGTGTGATTTCACTTCTGATGTACCCCCAACACGCTGATTCAGACTGTAGGACAAAAAACCCTTCTATCTCCATTGGCTAAACAAACACATTCTTCCCAGGGAAACCAGAATGGCCTTCTCTCTGTTGTCCTTTCATCAGCAGGCTAAAGCCTTTGTAGATTTTAAATTGTATTGAAATGCTTTTAATAATAATGATGATGATGATGACGATGATGATGTCAGGCAGGAAACCCCCTCAAATCTTGTTAGACGACGGCTTCTTGTGGGCTCCCTTTGGCTCCACAGAATTCCAAATGCTCCCAAAAGCCACTGCAAATGTTGCATGGCAATTTGTGAAGACTGGCTGATGGCTCTGGGATGGATGGCTTCCTGAAGCTACTGAGCCCGAAGGAAGATGGAGAAGAGTCCGTTTACTCTACTACTGGTGAAAAAGTGGAAAGGAGTTTGGGAAGGGAGTTGCTTCCCTCTTATCAGGAGCTCCTGCTTTGCCTCTTTAGCAGTTGGGATGTGTAGGTTCTTCAGGCAACCTCTTAAAGCCCCCTCTTCCCTTTCTGATTGAACCATCCCTAAAAACTTGAAGTTAACAATGAGTATTTCTAATAAATAGCATTAGGAAATGCTACCGGGATATGCCAGGTATATATCCTAGTACTATGGCATCTATATTACACATGTGCTGGTGGGGGATAAACGTACATCTTTCTACTGACAAACAAATTGCACTCTGAACCTTTTTTAAAAGGTAATTTCCCTACAGAGAAAAGCTGCCAGGATTCTTTGAAACAAATCAGTAAGACCAACATATTGATTATTCAGTGAAAGATTATTTGTAAAAGTATAGCAATTCTATTGTCGAAGGCTTTCATGGCTGGAATCACTAGGTTCTTGTGGGTTTTTTTGGGCTATAGGGCCATGTTCTAGAGGCATTTCTCCTGACGTTTCGCCTGCATCTATGGCAAGCATCCTCAGAGGTAGTGAGGTCCTCACTACCTCTGAGGTAGTGACCTCACTACCTCTGAGGATGCTTGCCATAGATGCAGGCGAAACGTCAGGAGAAATGCCTCTAGAACATGGCCCTATAACCCGAAAAAACCCACAAGAACCTATAGCAATTCTATTGGACCCTTTTCACTTGTGAACACATACGTCCATCTGGCTTCTATATCTTAGAATCTTTATATCTGAGAACACAGTTTAACTAGGCCAGGGGTCCTCAAACTAAGGCCCGGGGGCCAGATACGGCCCTCCAAAGTCATTTACCTGACTCTCGCTCAGGCTCAACCTAAGTCTGAAACGACTTGAAAGCACACAACAACAACAACAACAACCCTATCTCATCAACCAAAATGGGAAGCGTGAGCCTCCACACTTCCCATTGAAATACTAATAAGTATATACTAATAAGTAATAAGTATATTTGTTAAAATTGTTCTTCATTTTACTTATTGTATTGTTTTTAAGTGTTTTTTTTGCACTACAAATAAGATATGTGCAGTGTGCATAGGAATTCATTCTTTTTTTTTCCAAAGTATAATCTGGCCCTCCAACAGTTTGAGGGACTGTGACCTGGCCCTCTGTTTAAAAAGTTTGAGGACCCTTGAACTAGACAGGCATTCTAGATCCCAAGAGGCATTGCTTTACTGCTACTAATGGAATTTCAACGTTACTGTCTTTTGTCTCTGTCCCTACATAGTCAAAAAAGGGGCTCTGTTTGCATTAAGATCTCTCAGACCAAATGAATAACAGAAACAATTGATGCATAATATAGCCCTGTGATTCCAACATAATCACTTCCGTATGATTTTCAAACATGTTTTTCTGATTATGAAGCCAGTGGAGCTTTGAAAGCATGCTCAAGTGTTTTGAGCATTTTGTTTGGCCAAGAAAGGTATCACACTTTTGTAGACTTTGTTTTAATCAGGTTTCAGATGCATGCGATATTCTGGAAATAAAACACTGCAGTTTGGAAATTAATGTTGATGCATCATTCTGATGCTTAAAATAACTTTAATCTTGGGGTGGCAGTACAGGATACATAGAACTTTGAGTGGGCAGGCTTCTGCTAAGAAAGCTGAACTTCACCTTCCTCTCTACCCATCTGTTTGCTCTGAGATCTGCTTCAACAGATCCTCCAACTTTCTGAAGCAGACCTGCAAGATCTATGTGAGGGAAGGACCAGCAAGAGAACTATGTGAGGGAATGTCCCACAAGAGAACTGAGAATCTATTCTGCCAGTGATATCAATTCCACTGACAAGAAAAGCGTTGCAGAATACATTTTATATCATATATTTCAATGTCAACCCAATGTCCATAAGTTTTTTTCCTGATTTAAACTGGGATTTGTAATGGAAAAGCAACTTCTGTGACCAAGCCAGACTAAACAAGATAAAACATGTTTTTGTTGGGAATTGTTCATAACCATATAGCACTTCTTGAGAGCATTAAGCTCTGATTGCCAGCACTGTTAACTTTTGCAGTATTCCTTGACAATTCTAATTCCTTAATAATTGCGAACACCTGAACTGAAGGTGAACGATGTTGTCACACACTTCTTAGCAAGGCTTTTTTGTTTCCAACTACTACCTCTGCCACTTTCTATTTTTATTTGCAGAATATCCCACAGAGGTGCATAAAGAGAAAAATAACTAAAGAGATCAGAGTAAAGGTAACAGAAAAGGGTGCTCTGGAATCATGCTACACCTGAATCCCAATTTCTGAAGTTCTCTTCAAATTTAGTGTATACAGATTACACTGTGAAAAGGAAGATATCCACTGTCCTTAAAATATAGCATCCAGTTACCCACAGAAACTTTAAAAGTGGAAAGGATTAATCGTTGTTTGAAAATGAACTTTTCGACTTACATATGATGCTGATAGAGACAACAGGAAGGACAATGTATTTAGTGATACTAGACTAACAGTCACTGGACAGAAGGATTACTCACTGGCAAGGCCTACAGGTTCCAACTGTGTGAAAAATCAAGCCGTCACAGTTTGACAGTAACATCTTTATTTTAGTAATTTCTAGGATTAATAGGTCTTTAAATCAAACAAGTTGCATTCCTACTGTGAAATTACAGCTACATATAGGCCATGACCCCACACAGCCCGTTTCTTGAATTTCAGCCAAATCATAAATTGAAAAGACAATTCTAGTACACCAAATATCAACAGCTATGAACAAAAAGTAAGGGAACTACCCTTGCTCCATTTCAGATACTGCTAAATCTACAATACCTATTTTAAAAAACTGTTCCAGATTCAAAGCAGTTAAACTTGAAAATTTATGAAAATTTTCTTTTTCTGTTTTACGCTTCTGACTGCACAGAAAACAAACAACGTCAAGGAAAGATCCATGTAGTATATACTGATGTTCTCTACTGAATGCCTACTGAGTGCTGCAGTTCTGAGAAACATCTCCAGGTGGAAACGCTTAGAAGATTTCAGCATTAGTTATCAAGCATCATGGCAGTAGGGAGAATGTATTTAATGTCTGAAGTGATACATTTGTGTGTTTTGTGACTGTAATGCAAACTAGACTAGAACCTTGGACAGTGTATAATTATATCATATGTGAAAACTCAGAAAATTATCAAGTGAAGCAGCAATGAACAAAAGGTCACAGACTACAGATTTTATTTAAATCATACATTAGCATCACCAGCTTTATTGAAACTTTTATAATTTCTAGAAATAGGATAAAAGTGTGTGAGGGAGTGTGTGTGAGAGAGACACACACAAGAGAAGGTAAGAAAGAAAACAATGAAAGCAAAATCTCTCTTGTTCTGATTTTTCCCCACTAAAGTCTTCTGGCAATTTGGAATATTATATAAATGAAAGCAATGTTCACATAATGGTTGGCTATGGCTCTGCACAAAGAGCACAGACATTTTATGGAAACAGTACAAGTTAATTACACTATGTAACAAAATTTGAAAAAAAAATCTGTTCCTGATTTGAAAGTGTTATTTCCTCTTTAACTGTGTGGTACTTACTTTGAAAGTAGTTGTTATACTCCAGAAACTTCATTTTTGTGGCTGCCACAAACTACGTTGAATTGGTTGAGACTCTAGGAGATATTCGTTGATAAACTATAGCAAAACGTGCTGCAGGATGTCCCGCAGAAACAAAGTTTTTGCAGTTTAATAAACTTTTCCCATGTTTTTATGATAGAACCAATTAGGAAATGACATTTATAACCCAGGAACAAAAATCATGTTACATAGTGTTATACTTTTTGCTAAATCAATCGTACAGAGAACATAAGGGTTGTTTATTTGGCTAGAACTATACAGACAGATATCGTCATGTCAGAATACTCTTCATATGGATGAATTTATGAAGATGTTCTGCAATATAAAATCACACTGGTGGAACATTTACGTCACAACAGAACACAAAACTTAAATTACAAATGTCTAGTTGCATGTAAAATGTGTTCATTAGTTGTGTCTTAAAACAAACATGGAGCTAATTTAAGATGAGGAAACAAAGGCAAGATAAGTGGTGAAATTTGACCATAATTTAAATCCAGAGAACGGTAGCTTTCCTTATATGAGTTAGTGCTGAGGATAAGCCTAGGGTTAGATAGGTTTCAACTCAAAATAACTGTGGCAAACCGCACAGAAGAGTCTGTATTTCATGGAGGGATGCTTTCACAGTAGGGAACATTTCTTTCCTCAAACTGTTAGGTACATAGACATCTACAGATAACAGGGAGCTGTCAATGAGGACAATTGTCTCTACTGTTCTCTCAAGTTCTGTTGAACATGAACAATTTGGAAAGTTCCTTCTTCCCTCACTGAATCACCCATCATTCTAAGTTGTCCCAGTAGCTTCATGATGGCAGGACATATTTTCTTCTACCACTACATTGCTGAAATATACACACTATATTTATTTTATTACATCTCCCTCCATTTGTATTGGGAATGAGGGAAGAGGGCAAAATGTACATCCCAGTACATTCTGGCATTTTCTATGGATACCACAAAACTGCAAAATGTATGTATAGCTGGGAGGAAGAGAATAAGTGTAAAAAAGGGAGTGGAAGGGCCTAAAGAAGGACAGTAATCTTGGCTCACTTTAATACTGCCACATCCACAGAAACAAATATTGACGTTTCATTATAAGCTGCTCTGCATGGTCTCCTCAAACAGCAAAACCTTCAGGAAGGATTACTTACGTCTGTGGAGCTGGGACTGGGCAAAGACACAGGCTGAACAGTTGCGGGGAAAGTAAATGTGGTCTCTGTCTTTTCATTTTCAGGGGAGTCAGGATGACTGGACAGAGGGGATGTGGGGGTCAGAGCCCCAAACCCCAGCACCGTGTTGTATTTAGGTGGACGACCTACACATTAACAAAAGGGAACAAAAAAGGGGGAAGATAATCTTACATACCTTTGGCCAGTGCTCCTCATTGGCTAGCATGGAAAAGGAAGTGATGTAGGACAGAAGAGAAGTTAGTGTAATAGGCACGAGTGAGAAAAAGCCAAGTAAAGATGTAAAGTTAGTTTTAAAAGACATTTTACAAAGAGAATTGTGCAAAGAAGGATAGTATCACAAGAGAGAGAACACAGCTTTTCAGAAGGACAAAGAGCATTGCTCCCAATATACCTGCACTGTGTCCACTATGTAATGTCTACAATTTTAAAACTTTCTTCCTCCAAATGAAAAATGATCATGATCGCTATCACTTTGATTTACCAAGTTATCTCTGTCACACTATGACCCTTTTTCTAAACCTTTTTTTCTAGAGATCTGACATATAATGTTCTCATTTGGGAAAGAATGTAGAGTCTGTTACAGTCATTCCGGAGACACAGTAAAAAGAGTTTAATTACCTTTTAAAAATCAGAAATAATTCTGAACTTAAGGTGAAACATACATTTAAATATCACCCTTCTATCACATCGTCCTCAATACCAGAGACAACTTATCTAATTCCAATACCAGAGACCACGATTATCTAATTCCACAGCCCACTTTAATTTCTATGGATATACAGAGCTGAGGAAATATACAAATAAAATGTTAATAGAACTATAGGAAAAGGTAACTCAACAATAAAATCTGCTATTGATCTTAATGGAACCATAACATTCTAGCTGGCCCAGTCTTTGTTTTCTGCAGTACTACTACCACTTTGAAAACTGAAAAGAGAGATGTTCTCAGAGAGAGGAAACTATAAAAATATGTTAGCAGTTGTAAAGATACTGAGAGATTGAAGGAACAGAAGTAAAGAATTCAGCATTTTTAAGAAACATTTTTGGCAGTTCAATACTTTTACCAGGCTACTGGAAAGCCAGTATTCTTAGGGTGCCTAACGTCAAGATGCCAAGAACAGCACAAAACCAAAATGCATCCAAATTTGCTTTAGAAAAGCATCAAAATATTCAAGGAACGAAACACTCTTTTGAACATTTGATCTTCTGCCTAAATATACTATGGGCTGAACTCTTCATCAGCAATTACAGTAACGATCTGAGAAAAAGGGAAACCATCTCAGGATAAGGTGATGATCTAATTTTCAAAATGTGAAAAGATGTTCAGGCACTATTATATCAGTGAGTTAAATATAAAAATACAACATACGTAACTGAAACTGTCACTTAACCACCCACATTCTCATGTACACATTGACACAATGCCTCACTTTTTTCATTCCACATTTTAACTACAAAACATTGAAAATATACTTTTGAAATATACAACTTGCATCATGTGTTCCTTGAAATGCTGAACTGACTTGCTCATTGTTTTGTTCTGAGCAGTAGGCCCAAGACCAGAGGAAGTGTATTACAGAGCATTAAGGGAAGTCAAGGTCTGATAAACAATATCAGAGTAAGCCCACTGAATTAATGGAATTGACTCACCAAGCCCCATAGATTCAGTGTGTCTACTCCAGTTGTGACCAGCAAATGGATTTACACCACAGTGCTCAACTCTGATATTCAGGACTGAATGAAGTAAGCACAAATTTCAAAGTCAAACTCAGCACTACTTTACACCTGGCTAGCAACCACCAAACTTGAATCAATCAACAGCATCTTGTCTCAGACACAAAATATACATGAGTATTCAAGGTGTAGTAATTGGTACCCAACAGCAGATCTTCTGCAGGAATGTTAAGAATTGAGGACACCTACATTGATTCCATTTTGATCTCATCAATACCAAGAATAAAACTATCTAGGTTGGCACCAGTTCTATTTTAAAAACTCAAATAATCTACTTCTTGCACAGCAGAAGATATGAAAAGACTGAAAGTGAAAGTCGAGTACTTAAATCTTGTGGGAGTTATATTCCTGTCACATTGTTCCAAATACAATTTTGGTTTCCTTTTATAAAATTAGATATGTGTGTTTAGCATGTAAATATGCTCATCGTAATAGCAATGCACCTGGGATCATCTGCGAGGAGCCAGTGTCCCCCTTTTTGCTATTTCTGTGAGCTTCCTCTGCTCCAAATAACATTCCGCCTGTCTTTCAGTTTCATACGGAAAACTTCTAAAATTAATTTCATATCTGACTTATATGCAGTTTGCTGTTCTGAATTTGCATAACTCTCTCAAACCCTTAAGGGGATGACAGATCAACACACTGATGGTGTACAGGGAATCCTAATGTGTCCAGATTACGGAATCCAGTTTTCTGTTTGCACAATGTTTTAATCACTGTGAATCAGTTGTATGTGCTTGTATGTGTGGGAAAAAACAGAAAACTACACATGTACCAAAATCTGGACAGAAGAACAGCAAATCACTAATGCATTGGTGACAGTCTACAATCAAGATCACAACTTAGAATTCCAAAGTCTAAAGAAGAACTTGGGTGCAGAGAATGTTTAAGCATTCCTGTGGATATTATTAGAAACATCTTGATTGCTACACTATTCAATTCATGTTCATGTAAATCAACAACCAGTGATTATTTCCTAATAGTGCAGACAATATATTTATAAACAGGAAATCTGAACACACAGAATGACATTGTCTAATTACAATGAGTTGTATTTAACAGATGTGCAGCAAGGGGCATTGGGACAGGGTAACTGTTTACTGTTGTTCAGGCAGCTTCTTCATGGCCTGACTGTAGGTGTTCACCTAGAGATATACTCTAGAATTCTTCTCCAGCCCGAAATATTTTGCACACAACAATCTCTCCCACTTGTATCCCTTTGACCATATTCAAAGTCTATTCCCTCCAGATTGCTTCTGTATCTTCTGTAATCCCTGCTCATTAGGACCGCATTATTCATATTATGTATATTAACATAAATGTTACATTCAAATCAGAATTTTAAAATTGCCTTAAACCACTCTACCTGATTGTAAAGCTGTTTTGGTTTAACTTGTTATATGAACAAACATGTTTTTTGTCTGTATTTCAATTGTTTCAGCTGATTTTATTGTATACCACCCTGAAATCCTTGGATATAGGGCAGGATGAACATATTTTAGTAAATATGTATGCATTCAGAAGCATAAGTCTATTTTGTACTGTGAAAAAGAAATAAATACCCAAGAAGGTAGAATCATGAGAAATTTACCTCGTTTACGTGTACCAGGATGCATTGTGCTGTTCAGATATGTGACTGCACTCTTCTTGCGCTTTATAAAAGAGGAAAACAAGGTAGTTAGTAAAGCATTTAAACAAGTAAATACTACACCTACAAACAACACACACATGGAGACAAATGAAGGAATTTTATATTAAAACATCCAAACAGACTATGTCTAACCAAGAGTAACAACACATGAATTTGCAACAGGCTTTATCACATGAAAAATACCTATTTATTCCAATATGATTGAAGCACACTTTGTGGCTTCTTTTAAACTGTGCTTGCTATTCTGTCTTGCCACTGGATAAACCCTATCAAAAGGCTAGCCATTTATTGGTGTTGGCAACTTGGAATCTAGCAGAAAGCTGTAGAAAACATTGTATTCGCGATATGGAGTTAAAATAATGTCACGCCTCTACTAATTTCAAAGAATAGGATGGGACAACAAGGAAACAAAGGGAGAAATACAGAACAGAGAACTTATTTTCACTTATTGTTCAAGCTCCCATACCAGCTTTCTGAAATGATGAGTTGCTCCACCTAGCAAGGCTGATGATAGTTCTCTGTATATATGAAAACAAACACTGAAAAAAAAAATCTTTTCAGTAAGTTATTTTATTTTGCTATCCAGAGATAGATGGATACCTCGGGCTCAAAAACTGCTCCACTGTACACTGGATTTGCTGTTGTTCTTCGTTTCCTCTCTTGTCTCTTGCTTTGTATTTCTTGAGGGGAGAAAGAAATTAGGTTAGAAATAAAAATATTTACAAGCAGAACAAGAGTTTATTTTACAGTCTATCCAAATTAGGAGTGGTGAACTATGATTTAGACTAGAACTTAGTGTAACCTCAGTACTGTAATATAGAAATCTACTTAGAAATAAATAAGAAAATAAATGTTACCAGTATAGCTTGAGAAAAGGCTGCCTACTCCCAAAAAGTGCTCAGCTGGTGTTTTTATCTATCATGTTCTGAGTCACACATTTGCTGTTGGCAGTTTAGACTAGGATCCACTATGGTGTATCAAGCTCCACTGATGCATTTTGTAAAATTAATGATGACAAAGGGCAATATACCTAGAAGTCAGCAGGATACCGAGATGCGTGACGATTTACTTATTTACTCAATTTATACCCTAACTTTTCTCCACATGGGCAGCCTAAAGTGAGTTTCTGCTTCACAACAAAGGACTACAAAGTTGAAAAATAACAGTAAAACTGTAAGCAGATACAAAAATCAAACACATATTTAAATACTTTATTCATTGTGATTTAAAACTAATAAAAGTAAATTACTGGCAAATGAGTCTGTAGCAGGATGAATAGTTAATGAAACATATTTTATACTACTTAAAACATCATTTAACTATTCCTGAAAATATATTTTACTTACCTTCTAGATGGTCATGTGTAACTAATCCAAGAGATACCATAAAGGCAAGTTTCTGTATCAGAAAAAGAAACACTTCAAATTATATGAGATACTAAATCATATTACATATTAATTTTAAAAATTCTCATTAACATGCATCCTTTATATATATCAAAGGTACTTCATAAAGCAAATCAAACCACACAGTGTATCTTCATACAACTTACATATAAACAAAAAGGATAACAAGCCCACTGAAGTTTTATTAGTGGTACATACATAGCTTTTCACTGCAGCAGTTTTTATGCTCTTGTCAAAAATGTATCACAGATTTTTCATGAATTAGAACAGCAATTTTATCGAAAGTAACACATGAACTGGGAGTTCAACCTTCTAACTTCTGTGGGATCTGAAGGTTTAAATGCAACATCAGTCATTGCACTCACTATGGAAACATGGCACCAGCCCCTGGCAATAAAGTTGAGCAATGAGCCTCACTCCTAACTTTGCAGGTACATATCTAAGTAGAATTTGTACTAAGAATTATACAAAGATTTCCTGCTACCTTCCCAGCTATTGAGAGGAAGGGTGCAGATTGTTTACAAACTGAAATATCTGTTGTTGTTGTTGTTGTTGTTGTTATTGTTGTTGTTGTTACCCCGCTTTATCTGCCCCGAAGGGGACTCAAAGCAGCTCAAGGCACCTGGAGTGACACAGCTCATAAACTATCCCCAGTCTTCCTCCTCCTAACCAGAAGACCAAATTTCTTACTTATTCCTGCTCTGAGTGGGATAAAACCAGCAACTTCTCATTACCTTTGGCCTTTCCCATCAGAAAACATTAGCAGCATTGTGAGGAAGGGGATCTGGGTGCTATTCAGGAAGGGCATAATATTCCAGACACACTTTTGTGATTGGTTGGTTTAATGGGTGACACAATGCACGCTTTCCAGAACTAAGGATAAATTGGTGTTCTATATAAGGCAGTCACTAACGGTGTCAGCTGAAAAGACAATTGTTTAAGTCTTACTTTAGGAAAGAACTTGCTAAAGCCAACACCCTTTAAATCTCCTGGAACACTGAGATATAAAATGCTAACCTCTGTTTCAGGGCTACGGTAAAGACGACCAAGACAATAAGAAGCCCAAATATGTGCCATTGATCTTTGGAATGGCCCCGGGTTATGATTGAGGATGGTGTGATTTTAATTATGAATGCAATGCCTTATATGTTTTAATGTGCATTTCATTTTAATTTTTAACTTAAGTGTATTCTAACTGTTTGTTGTCCAAAGGCATAGAATAGTTGCCATATGTAAAGCCACCTTGAGTCCCCTTCAGGGTAGAGAAAGGCAGGATACAAATAGAGTAAATAATAAATAAATAAATTCACAGGTATACATTAAATACTGTCATTATAAACAACACAAAAAGCCTTACTTCTGGAATATATTTAGTGAACAACAATACAGACGTAGCATTCCTTAATCTGAAAACCTTGGTTCTCACAATAACTCTGTGATTCAAACTAATCTTTTGTAAGAACTTAAGGAATATGATTGTTAGATGAGTGCATAGTCAGTCCCAACCCAAAAATGAATACTGTGAGTATCTGGCCTAGTATTACCTGTGGGTTTTCTTCTCGTTTTGGCTTCAGTGGTGCAGGAGGCATAACTGTGTGAATCTCTGTTGGCTTTTCTTCTGTTTCTGCTTGGGGCTTGATAGTCTGCAACAGAACCAATTGTATTGAGACTTATATTTCTTACCTTCTCAAAACAAACAGAAATAGCAGCAGTGTCTTTATTTACCAGGATGAAGGAAACAATGAACGACAAACCTGAAAAGTATTCTACAAAACTTTTCCCTAAGAGTGCCCTTTAAACCAGTGTTACTCAAAGTCACTGTCCATGAACCCGTGCTAGTCTGTAAGTCACTAGTTGCTGGTCCCTGGAAAACTTTGAGGAAAGAAAGGAGTAATCAGTGGGGTCAATTACAGCACTGTTCTCTAGTTACTCTGGCAAATCCAACACAAATACAACCAAAAAGTTTAAAAAGCACTGCTTTAAATAACATGAAATAACATAATAACTACTGCTCAAAATAACGTAGCTTCCTTGTGTATCAAGGAAGTACACAACCCCAATACATAGTAATCCAATTCAGCAACCATACCATGTCATGAAGATTATTTTGCATTTCGGCTGGTAGGCAGCAATATTTTTTAAAGAGTTTTGGTATACAGAACAATTACAGCCAGGTCTACACTTGATGCAATAACTTCCCCTGAAAAGCTTGCTGTCATATGCACACTGCATTTCTCTCATTCATGCTTCATTATAACAAGGATTTGCCTGGAAATCATTCTCTACAATTCCTAAGAGATTTTTTTTTGTCTGAGCCTCTATTGCTTACTGATAGCAGAATTCTCTACATCCAGCATCATAAATGCTTGCACAATGACTCCTACTTTATGACACGGGCATGAAGTCATAAAATGATATCAATCTGTTCCAAGGAGAGAAAGGCATTTTCAATATGTTTTCTCTAGCAATAGGGAAAAATATCAAATATATTGTGTGATGTTGTAAACCAACTTCTTTGGTTGATCTCATTTAATATAGTGTGTCTGACACTATTAACTTGCATTGGCTGCCATGCTGTACACAACAGCTATCTTTGCATGCAATACTAAACTAATTTCATGTTGCATGAACAAACTTCTAGCTTGAATAATTTACTCTTTCTCTAGTACAACTATGAAGAGGAACTGGAAAATTTTTGCTACATTTAAGAGAGACAAGCTGATTTGTCTCACATATGCATTGTTTTGATATTAACTCAGGTCACAGCTAATATTCCTGATATATGCAGATAAAACATAGCTAGTAGTAACTGCCATTCTTGATTTGGACATAAACAACAAACTGTGGTCAGGTCAAAATGGAAACAAAGGCTTCCAGTCTCAGAAAGAAGGCAAGAGAAGAGCTAAACTATCATTTACAATTACATTGAAACCAGACTAAAAACATAAATAACTGGTTTGATTCGATTTCCTAAGAAGACCAAGTGAGAATCAGTGACCTGGTTTGGCCCTCTGCTGCGAAAATGTTCCCTTTTAGGGGAAGGACAACAAAAACCATGTCCAGATTGAAACCAGCTTTCCCCTGTTGACAAAAGCTTGAAAGGAAGCTTTTGGTAACCTCATTCGAGAGTTCTGCTTGTTTTCAGTAGAATTCTGAGTGCCAAGCCTACAGTGGAAGTCTTTGTACGACAAAGCTTGTATGAACTGACAGAACTAACCACAACACTTAGTTGTAATATTCATTTGAAGTCATCTTGACATCTGCTAGAGCTTAGAAGTAACTAGATACTAACATCAGTTACTTGTAATTCATTACATTTTGCAATAACGAATGCATCCTAACATTACATTTCCAATACAAGGTATGAATTCACTCTTTTTGCAGTGACTGCATAATTTTATTCACTTCTATAGGTACAGGGGTTTACTTCCTTACTACCTGGCCAACATCTTGCAATATTCTGATTTTTTTAAATTTAAAAAATCCAACGAGATCTGTTTTCTAAGCTCTGGGCTCTACTTCTGCTTTTCTGAAAAAAGTATCTATTAATAGGACTCAAATATAAGTGATGAAAAAATGGTCTATTTCTCCTACCTGGCAAAGCATGATCTAGCATGGCAAAAGTATTAAGGTACTGAAAACCAAACTTCAAAATCAGCTTTAAATGTCTGTATTTGCAAGTAAAAGGCCCACTTTTGATGTCTAAAGGTGAATTTCCTCTCAAGTGTTGTAAGCTACTTACATAAGATTAACTGAAATCACTGACAACACTGAAACTACCTTTAATTTAGTTTTATTAAAAAGTCAGTGAGGTTAATAAAATTATTATGTTGGTGGACTTTTAAAAGTACAAAAAAGACAAGTGAATTACAATCAATCAGATGTATTAGAAATAACAACATAATTATCAATCTGCCTTTAAGACGTTTGAACACTGTTCATTTTAGAATAATAATAATAATCATCATCATCATCATCATCATCATCAACTTTATTTATACCCCGCCACCATCTCCCCAAGGGGACTCTGGCGGCTTACATGAGGCCAAGCCCAACAATACAGCAAGGCCAAAAAAACCCCCAAAAAACCCCAAAAACAAAACACATACAACAACAGTAAAATATAAAAATAAAAATAAAATACAGGAAACAATATAAATAAACATCAAGCAATGTAAAATCACAATAATTTAAACCCAGTGGAAGGTTTTAGCTCTTACAAAGTATGCATTTCTCTATTTCTTTACCTGTTTTTCAACATTTGGTTTACTGATCTGTAGAGTCTGAGGTCCAGCAAGCCTGGTACCCGGGGCTGCTATAACAATGCTGGTGAGTTGTGCCATTGGAAACGTTTTGGCTATGGTTGCTGTTTGCCCGTTGACAACACGGACCGGGTGTATAGAATTCTGTGAGGAGGGTAAGGAGGTGGGTGTGAATTTTGTTGTCAGCATCACAGGCCTTTGAAGAAGTTGAGGAGCAGCAAGCATCGGAGGTGGTGGGGCTGGGGCTATAGGGATGTTGTTTTGGGCAACTGGCTTGGGTCGAACCTATGCACAGACACAAGAAAGAGAGAAACCCACATTCATCTGTATTTAAAAATATTTAATACAGTAAACTGTATTAATAATCAACACAAATGATTAATTACAGCACAGCATTTATTTTAACCCAGATATGATGCCTGATTAATGGAAATAACTCCTAGTATGTTAATATCATATATAGATGTATATTTCTATAATACTACCACAGTTAATGTATGTAGAAGCTGTTCAGTTCAATGGCCTGTGGGGTCCCTCGGGGTTCATTCCTGTTCCTCCATGCTATTTAACATCTACATCAAACTGCTGGGAAAGGTCATCCGGAGTTTTGGAGTGCGGTGCCATCTTTATGCAGATGACACCCAATTCTACTATTCCTGTCCATCTAATTCTAAAGAAGTTGTTCCCATGCTAAACCGAGACCTGGCTGTAATGGAAAGGATTAGGGCAAAAAACTAAAAGCTTAATTCAGACAAGGCAGAGGTGCTCCCGGTCAGTTGAAAGACAGATCTGGAAATAGGGAGTCAGCTTGCGTTAGATGGGGGTCACACTTTCCCTGAAAACACAGGATCGCAGTTTGTGAGTGCTCCTTCTCTCTGTCTCACCACTCACTCAAGTGTGTTTGTTGGAAACACAGGAGAGGTCCTTTTCAGTGGCTGCTCCCAGACTTTGGAACTTTCTCCCAAGAGAGACCAGGATGGCCCCATCCCTGCTTGCCTTCTGCATGCAAATGAAGACATTCCTGTGCCAGTAGGCATTTGAGGGAGGATGAGAGGCACACTGCTGGGGAGGTTGTGGAAGGAAGATATTTAGTTTTTAAAGCAATTTTGACTGTACAAATATCTTTATTGTATCTCAACTGGGTTTCAACTTACATCCATGACACAATATTTAATTTTTTTAATTTAATTTTTGTATTTGTCATTTTTAAACGTATTGAGTTGTGCCATGTAATGGTGAGCTGCCTTGAGTTCCCATTGGGGTGGGATAGAAATATACTTAATAACAATAATGATGATTAATAATAATAATTCACTCATATTATTCAAGTTGTAATATTAATATTTTAAAGGGACTACACTGGTTTTGGAAGGGAAAGTCAGGGTACATCTATAGTTTGACACCACTTTAATTGCCACAGCTCAGTGCTATATGGAACCCATCACAGCTGTAGTTTTATCAGCCTTCTCTGTCAATAGTATTGGTGCCCCATCAAAATACAGGTCCCAGGATTTCATAACATTGAACCATGGCATTAATTCTATAGTGCAGATGCACCCTCAGAAGCACACAGTGAATTTATGATTTTAAAGTATTATTGAGAAGTAAAGGAAATATCTATTGTGACTAAGAATGAGATTCAAAGCAAATATATCTGAATGACCAATAAATGTTCAGACTAATTAAAAGGGCGAGGTTCATAGATCTATATTCTTAAAAGCGAAATATACACAAAATAGACCTCAGCTGATTATTATTAGGCAAACTGCATTGGAAAGAGGAGCACGTTTCTAAATTATATGATCTTCTTCTTCAGTCATGTATTATCTATTTCTGAACTCATATAACTTTCTTGGGGACAAATACAAAGGCACAAACCATTAGAAAGACATATCTATATTGTACCAGTTACCAGTTTCACAATTTCTGTTTTCTTTCATAACTGGGTGATGACTGCTGACATTGCGGCTAGGAATCTTGACAATAGCCCCATTAAAATCAACAGGGGAGAGAGGGAAACCTGAATGAGTTGCAATAATCTCTGAAGCTGGTGGTCTTTTAAAAAATAATTTGCTGTGCCAGCCAAAGAAACAGTAATGTGTCATACATAGAAGTTGGAGGGGAGGCAGCCCAGGGAAAATCAATTATAATAATAACAGGTAGAGGAAGATACAGTGTGGGGAGACAATACTATCATCACAGGGGATATGGGAGCCACAGATATCTGTTGCTCCCAAACTATCCCCAATTTGAGCTGTCTGGAGAGCCTAAGAGGCCCTGTTCCTATAAGTGCCCCAAGGCACCTTCATCCAGCTCATTACTGATAGCAGACACTGATCCAATACTGCAATAGCTTCCTTAGAATTAGATGGAAAAGACAAATTGAGTTGAGTGTTGCCAATGTATTAGTGATACCAAACTCCAAAGCTCCACATGGCCTCTCCCAGTTACTTCATTTATATTTTGAATAGCATAGAGCACAGAATCAAGCCCTGAGGGATTTCACAAACCACCACCCATGATGTCAAACAGAAATCCCCAGACATCACCTTCCAAGTTCACTCTTCCCAGAAAGACCAGAGCCGTTGCAGAACAGTGCTTCCAAATCCTATCCTAGAAAGGTGTTCCAAAATTATATCATGGCCAATTGTTGCAAAAGCCACTGAGAGGTCGAGCAGGACCATCAGGGCAAAATTCTCATGTAAGTTCTTAACATATGTCATCCACTAGGTGACCAAAGCCATCTCAGTCCCATAGCCAGGCATAAAGTCAGACTGAAATGGATTTAGAAAACTCATCAAGAACCTCCTGAAACTGGGAAGCTATCAGACACACTAGAATCTTATCCAAGAAAAGGATATTGGAGAACTGACTGATAATTCTGTAGGACAGAGTTCAGGTAGGAATTTTTCCCCAGTAGCAGCCACTACCCAGCCTATTTCAGTAAGATGGAAAACTACACATGTGATGATTCTGACCCCTCCAAGGATCCTTTCCTGGACAAGCTGGGAGGATAGCAGCTGTCATTCAAGTTAACTCTTTTGTCAAAACTGTGTCACTGGCTACTGCTTCATTTCTGGGCAGAATTCAAAGTGCTATTTATGACTTAAAAAACACTATATTGATAAGGTCTAGACCATCTGGAAAACTGCATCTCTCTATAGGAACTAGCCAGAAGAGTTTTCTCTCATTTCCACAACTTTTACAGACCCATCTAGTGAGGACATGACAGAGAGCTTTTTCAGGGCTGGTTCCAGAAGTCTAGCTTGGCTCTGTCTCTATTTATTAAGGCTTTTTTATCCAAACAGGATTTCAATGATGAAACAAGTAATCATTTTTATGGGTTATTGTACTATATTTTTATCATTACCATAATCATTTTAAAATACATATTCTAACATTTAATGGTACTTTAATATAACAACTTGTTTAGTTTTTAGCTTTTTTACTAGTTTTATCCCATGCTGGGAGAAATGCAGGCTATAAATAAAATAAAATACCCCTCCTGAGACAAATGACAAGTAAATTGATACCAAGTATTGACAATACTAACTATGAACTATTCCTCATAATACAAAGGAACAGGACAGAACAGTCTCACAAAATTAGTTGTTAAGCAGTATTTCTAAGCTATATCTGGCCCTCTGGAATAAAGGAGCAGGAAATGAAAGCAAACTACATCAAATTGATTACAAATGGTTCGGCTTTGTTCAGAAAAACAGCTCAGGATTCATATATATATATATATATATATACACACACACACACACACACACACACATACATATATATATATATATACACATACACACACACACACACACGCACACGCACACACAGCCTTCCCAGTCAAATAAATAATGAAAAATACACAGTATCCCAAATGCTAATAAATTACAAGGAACTGATTGTCCTATTTTATTCAGTTCCTGTAGAACTACTAGAGACTGACAGGACAAACCAAAAACGTATTTCAATTGTTGAAGATTTAATCTGGAGTAGAATTCAAATATTGCTAAATGCTTTGAATATCTGGTCTTGTCCTTTTTGAAATCATAGTTATATTTCACAGAGTTGTACACAGTCCACCTTCCCTTGTACATATGTGGTTTGTTCATTTTATACCTCCTCTTTTCTTTACTGAGGATTCACCATCCCCTTCACCTGTGTCTATTTTGGACAGACTCACCTGTGGAAGGAAATTTGGACGAGGTGTGAGTCTAGGAGGAGGGATGAACTGTGGCACTTTGATGGGCTGAGGAGGCGTAGCTTGAACCTGCTGAACAACAGAAGCATGGTTAGGAGGGGAAGGACAGATTAAATGAAGCCATGTGTTTAATGAGTTATTCCAACAATATGCAAATACAACTTGCCCCTCCTATAACAACAAAAAACTGCAAAAAGAAAAAGAAAAAGAAAAAAAGAAATGAACCAAACTTCTTGCTTTAACTAACATTAATGTCATTCTGATGAATGAAATGGCCTTTACTTATGAAGTAAAAATGCTGCAACGTAAAAGCAAAGACCTCACCAGTTTTAGGATAAATTATCTCAGTAGTTTTTGCACTGTCAGATTTGTTTTATGAGTCAAACTCATGAATAATCAGAAAATATTATAAATCCGGCTGGCCATTTATATGGAGATTCAAGTGATGTTCAATTGTGCTAAGGCTTAGTAACTTAGGGAAATAATGTGAAAAGTTTGATAAGGCGATAATCATTCATAATCAAAATAGCTTAAAGGTTCAGCTTTACACATACACTTCTTACGTTATTTTATATAGCAGATTCTGGAACTTGTAGAATATTGTTTGTATACCAAGCAATTTTCTACTGACAGTAAATGGGCTGCAAATAGATTTATTCATAGCTTCAGCTCTGCATTAATTCTTATTTATTTATTTATTTATTTATTTATTTACAGTATTTCTATTCCACCCTTCAAACTCCGAAGGGGACTTCAAGCAGATAACAGAATATATATACGGCAAACATTCAGTGCCATTATACACTGACAGGACAGGCAACTGTACATAAAAGGTAAAGGGAAAGGTTTCCCCTGACATTAAGTCTAGTTGTGTCTGACTCTGGGGGGGGGGGGGGGGCTGCTCTCAGTTTCAAAGCCGAAGAGCCAGGGTTGTCCATAGACACCTCCAAGGTCATGTGGCCAGCATGACTGCATGGAGCACCATTACCTTCCTGCCTACTTACATTTGCATGTTTTCAAACTGCTAGGTTGGAAGATGGGCCTAATAGCGGGAGCTCACCTCACTCCCTGGATTCAAACTGCAACCTTTCGGTCAGCAAGTTCAGCAGCTCAGTGGTTTAGCCCATTGGGCCACCGGGGGTGGGGGGGGGTGGGACTTACAACTGTTCACAGATAGGGGTATAATATAGGCTTTCCGATCTTCTGCATCTTGGAGGCTATGCTCGGTTCCAACCATAGGGGGGTGCTGCTGTCCCACTTTCCCAGCCAAAGAGCTTTTGTTCGTAAACCTCCTACTTGATCGAATTGCTGGCATTTTTTCTGGCATTTCCTTATGGATGTCTTAAATACCTCCCTCCTTAAGCGGTACCTATTTATCTACTCACATTTTTTTTTGAAACTGATAGGAAGGCAGAAGCTGGGTTAAAGGCCAGCAGCTCACCCTGACCTGGTCTTTCAACTGTCAACCTTTTGGTTGGCAAGATTTAATGGAGCTGGCAGTTAACCTGCTGTGCTAAAGCCCAGAAGTAAAATTCTACTTCAGGAACTCTGTTTACATTTTTCATCTTAATTGCAGAGTTATATATTCTACTTCAAGTTACTTTTAACAGGTTTTAACTGCTAGGTTTTTCTGACAGAGCATTTCTCAGAATTATTACTTAGCCAAGAACTGTCTCTCTAAGAAAGTCTGCTCTGAAGGCTGAAAAAATGCTGGCAAAATCTCAACACATTTTTTGAGGTTTTACTTATGAGTCTAAAAGCAGCAAGAATAGGTTAGCCTTATTACATTAAATTAAGTGATTAAAATGAGAAGCCATAGACCTTATACACACTCTCTCTCTCTACTATATATATATATATATATATATATACACACACATATATATATATACACACACACACATATATATATGACATACATAAATACATACATATACATATACATACACAAATGCACACACACTTGCCAAGCAAAATGGTGTAAAAACCATATAGGACTAACCATCATCCCATGCCAAGCATATAAATAACAAACATATTAATGATTAGAATAACCATGATACCAACCAGTTGCCAAAATAGTAAAAGGACAAAACAACACATAGCTACTCAGAAATATGTCCCATTGAATCCTGGTAACTGTGAATAGAATTGTGACCGAAGACAATGAAAGTAATAATATGGTCTTGGAATGATTTAAGCGGTTTCACAACTCCCTTCCATTCAAAAAGTTTACACAGTCCTTAATTATGGGATGCAAAACTTATGCAATATACTGAAGCCTGGGTAACTAACTCCACTTACCAATGTGACTGTATTTTTTGCCACTATTTGGACTGCCTCTGTTCCTGGACCAGCGACTTTATTTGTGGTCTGGAGGTTGACTGGCGTGTTCTGTGCATCAGTGCTAAGGACAGTTTTCTGGCTGCTATTGATGGCAGTCACCATGGCAATTGTAGGTCTTTGACCCACAACAGAGGCAGGCATGGTTGCTGTTGCTGCTTTCAGTACAAGAGGTAGTGTCTTAGTGGTGATCATAGAAGCTGTAGTTACAGTCTTCTAAGAGAAACAGAAAATACACTTTTAAGGGTTTTTAATCAAAAGCTGGGGAAACAATTATCTTGAATTCAGAAGTGAATTAGGAAAGGATTAGTCTATGTTATAAACATTATCAGGGTGACTTTAAATGCTGAAGTTCAGCTGGAGAAAACTATAGGAAACTGGAATATTCATTAAATAGTACTTTTCAATAAATCAGGAACATACACAGCACTAAGCGGTGGTGAATAAAAAATAACATAATATACCTCGTCATATATTATGACCTCTTATTATCTTCATGTCACAAAAATATCTACACATCTCCAGATATTAGCAGAAATATGTCTTTTCTTAAAACTTTGCTTAAACACATGAACAAGAGTTGCATAGTTGATTCTAGAATGTACATTAAACAAATGTGGGAGGACAGCAAACACACTAGCCTCACTCCCTCTTTGTGTATTTCTATTACTCTTTTCAAGACCTTTTAAAGAGGAGAGCCTCCCACACCCTGAAAGCTCTTCATATGATCTAGAGCTGTGAAAAATTGAGGCCTCATCCATATATAGAGGAGCCTCCCCACTTCAAAACACTCCTCTGTGGATGCAGAGGGTGACAAAAATGGCAACGGAAGGGCTGTGGTTAGCATGCTCTTACTTTTATGTATTTATTCACCCTATACACCAGCACACATGAAAAGGGCTAGGCTTAAATGAACAGCAAAGAATTTCAGAAGAAAATCAGTCTGTGCTTTATAGATTATAACAAGGCCTTTGACTGTATAGAGCAGCGTTTCTCAACCTGGGGGTCGCGACCCCTGGGGGGGTCGTTAGGCCATTTTCTGGGGGTCGCCAAGGTGCCTTGGCTGGCCCCGCCCCCTCCAAAATGGCTGCCGACTCCCGGAGGCAGCCACATGGCACTCCTGGAAGGCTCCTCCTCTTGCTCTTCCCACAGAAATGTGGGTAGTCAGGAGGAGGAGCTTTGGAGGCAAAGGAACGGGGGAAGAAGACTCACACTTTGTTAGACCGTAATGTGAGTAAAACTCTTCATGCCGTCCTCATGCCTGGCCATCTGTCTATGAGGGGGGGAGGGAATTCTCTGTGCCAAGTTGGAGTGCATTGCATGGCTGCATGAGTTCAGAATGCTTTGGGATGGGAGAGGACTATATATCCCAGCAGTTGCCAAGGTCTATGTATCACAGTTATCTCCAGTATTTTCTGTTCACCATGGGAGTTCTCTGTGCCAAGTTGGAGTGCATTGCATGGCTGCATGAGTTCAGAATGCTTTGGGATGGGAGAGGACTATATATCCCAGCAGTTGCCAAGGTCTATGTATCACAGTTATCTCCAGTATTTTCTGTTCACCATGGGAATTCTCTGTGCCAAGTTGGAGTGCATTGCATGGCTGCATGAGTTCAGAATGCTTTGGGATGGGAGAGGACTATATATCCCAGCAGTTGCCAAGGTCTATGTATCACAGTTATCTCCAGTATTTTCTGTTCACCATGGGAGTTCTCTGTGCCAAGTTGGAGTGCATTGCATGGCTGCATGAGTTCAGAATGCTTTGGGATGGGAGAGGACTATATATCCCAGCAGTTGCCAAGGTCTATGTATCACAGTTATCTCCAGTATTTTCTGTTCACCATGGGAATTCTCTGTGCCAAGTTGGAGTGCATTGCATGGCTGCATGAGTTCAGAGTGCTTTGGGATGGGAGAGGACTATATATCCCAGCAGTTGCCAAGGTCTATGTATCACAGTTATCTCCAGTATTTTCTGTTCACCATGGGAATTCTCTGTGCCAAGTTGGAGTGCATTGCATGGCTGCATGAGTTCAGAATGCTTTGGGATGGGAGAGGACTATATATCCCAGCAGTTGCCAAGGTCTATGTATCACAGTTATCTCCAGTATTTTCTGTTCACCATGGGAATTCTCTGTGCCAAGTTGGAGTGCATTGCATGGCTGCATGAGTTCAGAATGCTTTGGGATGGGAGAGGACTATATATCCCAGCAGTTGCCAAGGTCTATGTATCACAGTTATCTCCAGTATTTTCTGTTCACCATGGGAATTCTCTGTGCCAAGTTGGAGTGCATTGCATGGCTGCATGAGTTCAGAATGCTTTGGGATGGGAGAGGACTATATATCCCAGCAGTTGCCAAGGTCTATGTATCACAGTTATCTCCAGTATTTTCTGTTCACCATGGGAATTCTCTGTGCCAAGTTGGAGTGCATTGCATGGCTGCATGAGTTCAGAATGCTTTGGGATGGGAGAGGACTATATATCCCAGCAGTTGCCAAGGTCTATGTATCACAGTTATCTCCAGTATTTTCTGTTCACCATGGGAATTCTCTGTGCCAAGTTGGAGTGCATTGCATGGCTGCATGAGTTCAGAATGCTTTGGGATGGGAGAGGACTATATATCCCAGCAGTTGCCAAGGTCTATGTATCACAGTTATCTCCAGTATTTTCTGTTCACCATGGGAATTCTCTGTGCCAAGTTGGAGTGCATTGCATGGCTGCATGAGTTCAGAATGCTTTGGGATGGGAGAGGACTATATATCCCAGCAGTTGCCAAGGTCTATGTATCACAGTTATCTCCAGTATTTTCTGTTCACCATGGGAATTCTCTGTGCCAAGTTGGAGTGCATTGCATGGCTGCATGAGTTCAGAATGCTTTGGGATGGGAGAGGACTATATATCCCAGCAGTTGCCAAGGTCTATGTATCACAGTTATCTCCAGTATTTTCTGTTCACCATGGGAGTTCTCTGTGCCAAGTTGGAGTGCATTGCATGGCTGCATGAGTTCAGAATGCTTTGGGATGGGAGAGGACTATATATCCCAGCAGTTGCCAAGGTCTATGTATCACAGTTATCTCCAGTATTTTCTGTTCACCATGGGAATTCTCTGTGCCAAGTTGGAGTGCATTGCATGGCTGCATGAGTTCAGAATGCTTTGGGATGGGAGAGGACTATATATCCCAGCAGTTGCCAAGGTCTATGTATCACAGTTATCTCCAGTATTTTCTGTTCACCATGGGAATTCTCTGTGCCAAGTTGGAGTGCATTGCATGGCTGCATGAGTTCAGAATGCTTTGGGATGGGAGAGGACTATATATCCCAGCAGTTGCCAAGGTCTATGTATCACAGTTATCTCCAGTATTTTCTGTTCACCATGGGAATTCTCTGTGCCAAGTTGGAGTGCATTGCATGGCTGCATGAGTTCAGAATGCTTTGGGATGGGAGAGGACTATATATCCCAGCTCCAAAATGCCAAGGTACCCCAATCCTCTCCAGTAATTTCTGTTGGTTATGGGAGTTCTGTATGCCAAGCTTCTTCAATTCCATTTTTGTTGGAGTTCAGAATGCCCTTTTTTTGGCTGAGGAACTATAAATCCCAGCAACTACAACACCCAAATGTCAAGATCCATTTCCCCCAAATTCCACCATTTTTCAAATTTGGGCATATTGAGTATTCATGCCAAGTTTGGTCCAGATCCATAGTCATTTGGGTTCTCAGTGCTTTCCGGATGTAGGTGAACTACATCTCCCATAAATCACTGTCAACTCCTCCCAAACTCCTCCAGTATTTTCTGTTGGTTATGGGAGTTCTATGTGCTAAGTTTGGTCCAGCTCTGTAATTAGTGGGGGATCTCAGTGGTCTGTGGCAGTCAGAGCTGAATTGGTTGAAGGTACTGCAAATCCCATCATCCGTTGCCCATACTCCCCCAAAAATGTTGTTTTTATTATTAATCACTATGCTTTAATTATGTTCAATTTGTAACAATGAAAATACATCCTGCATATTAGATATTTGCATTAGAATTAGAGTAGCAAAATTATTTATGAAGTAGCAACGAAAATATGGTTGGGGGTCACCACAACACGAGGAACTTTATTTGGGGGTCACCGCATTAGAAAGGTTGAGAACCACTGGTATAGAGCATGAAAATTATGGCTCGCTCTTAAAGAACTGGGTTGATTGTCCTCATGCATAACCTTTACTCAAGAGGCTACTGTTAGGATAGAATATGAAGAAATTGAATGGTTTCTAATTGGCAAGGCTTTATTTTATCACTCTGTTTAATTTGATTGCTGAAACTTATCAAACATGAAGCAGGGTTGGATTCAGAGGAAGGATCCTGAACTCTCTAAGTTTAGATTACTAAACTATCACACTTTGGTTATATCATGAGAAGGCATGCCTCACTAGAAAAGGCAAAACAAAAGTTTGTTAATGTAAAAGACTGTAGAAAAAGAGGAACACCACCTTCAAGATGGATAGAATCAATCAAAGAAGCAATGGCTTGAAGTCTGCAAAACCTGAACAGGGCTCATGTCAATAGGTCAACTCAAGAGTTTTCTCATTTCAAGTTGATTTGATGGCAGCTAACAACAAAATTCAAGAAGCACGGCAGAAATCTAACTGGCATTCAGTGATGCATGAAGATAACCTAGGTTACACTGTTAATATGTTAACATCCAAAAACTACCTTTACCTATTAAAGGAAAGAGTTCAGTGCTTTCCAAGAAACATCCTAAAATGAAAAGCATTGAAGCAATTCCAAGACAATTTCACTAGAGGGCTCTTTAGCTTTGAACATAGCTTTATACAAAAATAATAAATGACCTGGAAGTTCAACTCAAAGTGTACAGCATAGATTAGCATGATATTCCTTCTACAAACAACATTCTTCACAACTACAGAAGCTAGTCCTATAAAATTTACAATCTACTCTTAATACATTGAAAATATTTATTAATACACATTTACCTTCTCGTAATTCAGCATTCCCTTGATTTGTTTCAATTTTTTATTTTTATTTTTAAAAAAAACATTATTTGTAACTACCATATGAAAATTTAAAATAATTGGAATTGAAAAAGTATCTGAACTGGGTCCAACCAGTAGAATATTTATTTCCATGTGAGACATTTTCATAAAGATTAGAATCTAGTGAATTATCTTTATGTGTGGGTACATGCATACATAAAAACATTTATCATATGGCATTTGTAGCAGGAAAATATACATATTTTTATTAGACATACACATTCCAAAAGTAATTATTATTTATATGCTTCTCTTCACAATCTTATGCAAAGAAAGGAAGATGCCTTATACTGCCAGGCCACTGATTCATGTGGTTCTCCAGGGCATCAGATAGGAGTTGTTTCCCAACTGCCTGGGTTCTTCTATATTAAAAAAAATATAGACATTTCTGTGGACAGAACTTAATATATTAATGTACCAAGTTGTAAATCGAGATCTTCCTCTCACTCATATATCCTTGACATGTCCCAAGTGTCACTGAACTATCCAGAAGAAGAGGAAGAGGACCCTGTCAGCAACTTCAAGATTTGGGTCAGGTACTTTGCTCAGATTTCCCCAGAAGGGACTTTTTAAGCAAACAGCAATGTGTACTTTTCTAGGAGGTTCTTTATGGGGTGTCCAGGTGAGTTGGAAGATGGAACTCCCCAAACTGTTCACAATAAAGGTGACTGATATCTAGCACCTGCCAACAACTGAGTACAGGACAAGTTTGCCAGCGTCTCTACATCCATATTCTAGTATCTGATAATGCTCCTGGTCCTTGCCCCAGGCACTGCCAGGCCATCAAATGCTAATCAAGGTGGTCAGTTGAAACATTCACACCTAGCTACAACAGACATGAGTTCTTTGCCCCACCTGGTCATTCCACAGATATATAACGCATTTTCCTAGTTCCAATAGACCTCACTACCTCGGAGGATGCTTGCCATAGATGCAGGCGTAACGTCAGGAAAAATCACACCAGAACATGGCCATATAGCCCGAAAAAACCTACAACAATCCAGCTCCTGGTCCTGTCCATGTAGATTTGTGCCACATAGGCATAGGTGAAGAAAGCCATTGATGTGAATGTAGCCTTAATCAAATGTGCTTGAGCCATATTTGTGTTATGCAGACCACAATCCAGCATGTCAATGTGGTAGCCTGACTATAAGTCTTTTGTTCTCCTTAAATGTATTTCCATTGCCTTACAGACAGTGTGTGCCACAACCATTCAGAGGAGTTAAGGCAGAAGAAAGATAAGAACCATTCCAGGAATCTCTTGAAAAGAATGCTAATATTCAGCAAGATGAATGGAACTGGTATCAAAGTGACCAAGTCATCATCAACTTTTCACAGCTGTTCCTGGAACAAAAAGCACTGACATTATTCTGTCTAACTTTATAGTGACTACAAAGGGCACTTCAAATGCAGAATATGAAGAGAGACTTTAAGGAGATATTCAAATATTAGTGGAGATATGTATTTTGTGCTACGTTTATACCTTGACTCCCAGCAAGAGAGTATCCCATTAAAGGAATTATTAAAGCTTCTCAAAAAACATGGTGGTGTGTGTATGTGTGGAGGGGGGGGGCAGGGGGTGATGGAACTACCACATTGTTTAGTGCGAAGAAAACATAATTGCTCCTTGAAAGATTGGTGAGAGACAGGATTGGTGTTCCTAGGTGTATATGCAAGGTAGACATGATTACAGAAAATGATTAAAAATGCATGTTTTAATCATTTTCTTTAAAGCTGAACTTTCTGCTTACAAAGTAAAAAATAGAAATGCATTTCACCATTACAAACTGTATGTGTATCTATTATTGTAGGGAGAAAACTTTTAACACATGGTCCCTTGCATTATTTATTGAAATATCTGAAACAAATTATTTCTATTGTACTTTCTGTAATATTATAAACACTGGATCAACCAACAACAGTGAATAATTTAACCGACAACAACAAAGTGATTTCTCATTGGCTACTTTTGCCCTGGCGACTACAAAATAAACGAAATACAACAAATTCATCCATATTCTCAAAGCTGGAACTATGACCTGTGTTGCCAAGTATTAATTGGCATCAGAATATAGTTATTGTGTGAGAATCAATTAGGTCTTTGTTTACAACCTGAATATCTTACATTACTAATTCTAGTTTGTTTTTTTTTTGTTTTTTTTAAAGCTTGCTCAAAGCAATTGCAGGTAAGGTATACACTGCAGTGGGAATTGTTTCTAAAAAAACGAAAATTGACCAAAATTGTACATTATTTTCTACTAAAAAAATCTTTACAGGTGCAACAGCATCTAAATACTTTCCTGAACATATTCATTTTTTCGTTTTAAATGAGAGAGCTACAGTATTACTTAATAAAACTTTTCTGCTGTTGTGGACCAACTTGGGACAGAGAGTTTTGACAGAAGAAATGTCCTTTTAAGTATGACAAAAAAACAAACCTTGAAAGTGCTGTGTTCTGAGGACTGTTAATTCTCTTCTGTGTATATAGAGAATGGGTGGAGAGAAAAAACAGATTGCTGCCCTGCAGTAACCATTAGCTTAAATCAGCTTATCTAATCAGAAATGTTTATTTGAAAGCCTAACTGAATTCCAACACAACATATTTATTTGTATGTGTTTGCAACCTCATAAAAACTTAGCATAGATTTCATGTTCTATAAAGTGAAATACATTATCACTCTAGGAAATAATATAAGGCAACTTCTTCAAGCACTATACCTGTGATCCAAGCAAGTTTGGAGAGGGTGCAGTGGTCTGTTGCTGCTGCTGCTGTAGTGGCTGTGGCGTCTGTATTTTATTTTCTGACTGTGCCAATGGCTGTATTTGAAACTTGCTGTCTGGCTGTTCCTGCTTTACCATCAAATTCTTCCGTAGCTGTTCAACCACTCTTTTCTAGTGAGAAAACACACACACAAATTAAAAACAACAGAAGCAATAACACTAGGTTGTAGCACACAAAGGTGTCAGCATAACATTACAACACTACATTTCTGGGTTTGATCTTTACAGATTATTGATTCTTTTTGAATTTATTTAATTCTAGGTCCTCTGGTGTGATTCTATGACCAATTTCTGGTGGATGTTGACCATAGAGTCCTGCTAGAGGACCTGGAGATCGCCAGAGAGGCATGCTTTCATGATAAAAAAAATATTCATGGTTTTTCACTTTCATGGGAGCTCAGTTCCCCCTGATCCCATGAATGCGGAGAGCTGAATGTATTCACTGTCTGATTTATCGATTGACCAAGCCATCAGTATCAGCACTGCCCCTTAAATACTATGTATGGCAGCCATAATAATGGGAGTATACCTACATGGGAAAACAGATGTGTTCTTTAAAGACAATGTCATTCACGTACATCCAGAGGCGGCCCTAGGTAATTTTCAACAGTAAGCAAACAATATTTTGGTGCCCCCCCCCCCCCCCAATCACTGATATATATTTTCTGTTCGTCGTGGGAGTTCTGTGTGCCATATTTGGTTCAATTCCATCACTGGTAGAGTTCAGAATGCTCTTTGATTGTATGTGAACTATACATCCCAGTAACTACAACTCGCATATGTCAAGATCTATTTTCCCCCAAGAGCGCCTCAAGAGCGCCCCTGGGCAAAATCAACTATACTGCAAATGCTTACTTTGCGTAATGGGTTGAGCCACCCCTGCGTACATCACAGCAAGCCAATGACTGCCTTGATGACTAAATATATCCCTCAGGAAAGTCAGCTTTCTCTCAAAATAGTAAATGTTTTAAAAGCAGCCTGAGGTGCAGCGGGGAAGGCCTGCCTCACTGGCGTTCACAGACCCCGGAAGTGGGGCGGCCTGAGATGCGGCAGGGAAGGCCTACCTCCCTGGCCTGCTGCTGCCTGCTAGGCTTCGAAGGCTCTGCAGGGGTCTGCGGAGGCCGGGGAGGCAGGCAGGTGCCCTTGGGATGGGATAGGAGGCGGGTAAGGAAGTGCAGTTAAGAAAATAATATATAAAATTATGTATAAATATTAAAATTAATATGGCATCCCTACTTTGCGGATTTTCACTTATTGCAGGTGGTCCTGGAATGGAACCCCGGCAATAAGTGAGGGAACACTGTACATTGTTCCTGAGACCAAACAAATTAAGATAAATAAAATTTATATGGTGGTTACATTTACTAGAATACTTGAAATTAGTTGTCATATACCCAGAGAAGAATAAATATCAGATCTAAGTCAACAAATACAGGCTACTACAAATTCAAATATTCCAAGTACTATATTCCATTTTTTTGCAACGAGCAAAAGCCAGCAACCAATAAGTATGACAAGAATAATGCAGCACAAATTATGCCTGGCCCAACATGATACAGTGGTCTGAGAATTGGACTATGATTCTGAAGACCAGGATCTGATTCTCCATTTGACTATGGAAACTCACTCTAATCTCCATGAAAGCCCATGATAACTTCACCTTAGGGCATCCATAAATCAGAAATGACTTGAAGGCTCACAACAACACCAAATGAGAACCCATCACCACCCCCAAATATATTGGTATTTCACAGTTCAACCTAAAACCTGGAGTTCAAGGAGAAAATTTACTGGTCAAACCTGCCACCAGGTTTTTAGTGCCATTGCCTGAAACAGCTAGTTCGTGTTTTAAACAAAAATATTACAGCAGTTTATTAATGCATATTGTAGATCTGTTTTCTGATGCTGCAGCCTATTCCAGTTCTCCTCCCACACTCTTTAACAGTCTATCATTAAAACTGCTCTGACATTATCCATTTGGTACATTCTTTTATGATGACCTTCTCACCTCCCTTAAGACAAGAATGCTTTAACTTCCAGACTTCTGTCATGTCATAGAATCATAGAATCAAAGAGTTGGAAGAGACCTCATGGGCCATCCAGTCCAACCCCCTGCCAAGAAGCAGGAATATTGCATTCAAATCACCCCTGACAGATGGCCATCCAGCCTCTGCTTAAAAGCTTCCAAAGAAGGAGCCTCCACCACACTCCGGGGCAGAGAGTTCCACTGCTGAACGGCTCTCACAGTCAGGAAGTTCTTCCTAATGTTCAGATGGAATCTCCTCTCTTGTAGTTTGAAGCCATTGTTCCGCATCCTAGTCTCCAAGGAAGCAGAAAACAAGCTTGCTCCCTCATCCCTGTGGCTTCCTCTCACATATTTATACATGGCTATCATATCTCCTCTCAGCCTTCTCTTCTTCAGGCTAAACATGCCCAGCTCCTTAAGCCGCTCCTCATAGGGCTTGTTCTCCAGATCCTTGATAATTTTAGTCGCCCTCCTCTGGACACATTCCAGCTTGTCAATATCTCTCTTGAATTGTGGTGCCCAGAATTGGACACAATATTCCAGGTGTGGTCTAACCAAAGCAGAATAGAGGGGTAGCATTACTTCCTTAGATCTAGACACTATGCTCCTATTGATGCAGGCCAAAATCCCATTGGCTTTTTTTGCCGCCACATCACATTGTTGGCTCATGTTTAACTTGTTGTCCACGAGGACTACAAGATCTTTTTCACACGTACTGCTCTCGAGCCAGGCATCCCCCATTCTGTATCTTTGCATTTCATTTTTTCCTGCCAAAGTGGAGTATCTTGCATTTGTCACTGTTGAACTTCATTTTGTTAGTTTTGGCCCATCTCTCTAATCTGTCAAGATCGTTTTGAATCCTGCTCCTGTCCTCTGGAGTATTGGCTATCCCTCCCAATTTGGTGTCGTCTGCAAACTTGATGATCATGCCTTCTAGCCCTTCATCTAAGTCATTAATAAAGATGTTGAACAGGACCGGGCCCAGGACGGAACCCTGCGGCACTCCACTTGGCACTTCTTTCCAAGATGAAGAGGAAGCATTAGTGAGCACTCTCTGTGTTCGTCCATTTAACCAAGTGCAGATCCACCTAACCGTAGTTTTGCCTAGCACACATTTGACTACTTTGTTTGCCAGAAGGTCATGGGGGATCTTGTCGAAGGCCTTACTGAAATCCAGATACGCTACATCCATGGAGATCCCAGCATCTACCCAGATTATAATTCTATCGAAAAAAAAGAGATCAGATTAGTCTGGCATGACTTGTTTTTGATAAATCCATGTTGACTATTAGCGATGACTGCATTTGTTTCTAAGTGTTTGCAGACCACTTCCTTAACAATCTTTTCCAGAATCTTGCCTGGTATCGACGTGAGGCTGACCGGACGGTAATTGTTTGGGTCATCCTTTTTTCCCTTCTTGAAGATTGGGACCACATTGGCCCTCCTCCAATCTGCTGGAACTTCTCCCGTTCTCCAAGAACTCTCAAAGATGGTTGCCAATGGTTCCGAAATGACTTCCGCTAGTTCCTTCAATACTCTGGGGTGTAGTTGATCTGGCCCTGGGGACTTGAACTCATTAAGAGCGGCCAGGTATTCCTGGACGACTTCTTTCCCAATTTGGGGTTGGATGTCCTCCAATCCCTCATCCACTCCATCTTGCTGAGGTTGAAGACTCTCTTTTTGTGAGAAGACCGAGGCAAAGAAGGCATTAAGTAGTTCTGCCTTTTCCCTATCCCCTGTCAGCATTGCCCCATCTTCTCCTCGAAGAGGTCCTATCGCCTCCTTGTTTTTCCTTTTTCTACTGACATAAGAAAAGAAGCCCTTTTTATTGTTTTTAATGTCCCTGGCAAGTCTGAGCTCGTTTTGTGCTTTAGCCTTGCGGACCTTTCCCCTACAGGTGTTGGCTATTTGTTTGAATTCTTCTTTGGTGATTTCTCCCTTTTTCCACTTCTTGTGCATGTCTCTTTTGTGTCTTAGCACAGTTAGAAGTTCTTTGGACATCCATTCTGGCTTCTTTGCACTTGTCCTATTTTTTCTCTTTGTTGGCACGGTTTGCAATTGCACCTTGAGTATTTCACTCTTGAGAAATTCCCATCCATCCGTAACTCCCTTGTCTTTTAGTATCTGTGTCCACGGAATGCTGCTCAGCGTTTCCTTCATTTTTTGGAAATCAGCTCTCCTAAAGTCCAAAATGCGGGTTTGACTTGTCTTAGTTTCGGCCTTCCTTTGTACCTCAAATTGCAGGAGCACATGGTCACTTGCCCCTAAGGATCCGACCACTTCGACCGCATCGATCAGGTCCTCCGCATTTGTTAGGATGAGATCAAGAGTAGCCAATCCCCTTGTTGCCTCTTATACCTTCTGGACCATGAAATTGTCTGCAAGGCAAGCGAGGAATTTGTTGGACCTTGTACTCTTGGCCGAGTTTGTTTTCCAGCAAATATCGGGATAGTTGAAATCGCCCATGACTACTACATCTCTTCTTTGTGCCTGTTTGGTGAGCTGTTGGCAGAAGACTTCATCAAGTTCTTCATCCTGGCTTGGAGGTCTGTAATAGACGCCTACGATAAGATCTTTTTGAGTCCCAGTTCCATTGATCTTATCTGGATGCTTTCAAGCTGTTTTCCTGGATTACTGTCTTGCATCTCTTCTGCAGTGTAACAGTTTTTGACATATAAGGCTACTCTGCCTCCTCTCCCCTTTGTTCTGTTTCTGTGAAAGAGGTTATAGCCCTCGATATCTACATTCCAGCGATAGGAGTCATCCCACCAGGTTTCAGTGATGGCTATGATATCATATTTGTGGTGTTGTGCTAAAAGTTGGAGTTTGTCTTGTTTATTTCCCATGCTCTGTGCATTAGTGTAAAGACATGTGAGCCCCTGGGATCTTCCCTTGAGCTGTTCAATTGGGATTATTGTGCTTTTGGTACTTGGTCCTTGTTGTGTTTGTGCAGCCCTCCGTTTAGCCTTCTGGCGATTCCCAGACATTATGGGTAAAGTAGTGTTCGCAAGGCTGTTGTCCCCCTCCCCCGGTGGACCTAGTTTAAAGTGCGTCTAATGAGGTTTGCGAGTCTGTGAGCAAAAAA